ATACACATACACATACACATACACATACACATACACATACACATACACATACACATACACATACACTATACGCATGACTTGTATTACACACACACACACACACTGTATGTGTACTGTATATGCCGTACACAAACTGTACACAACATAACAGTCAAAATACATGTTATAAGTTGTAGTAAAAGTTTAATAACAGTCTATCTCTCTATTAAAAACCACACAAACCTATTGGCACTACTTTTTTCCACACAAACACATTGTGTGTGTGTTTGAAATGTTTACTATTAATAATAATAATAATAATTTTTTCAGTTAATACAGTAGTAATACTAATAAAAATTTTTAAATAAAAGTCTAGTGAAAAATCTAAACGTGTGTGTGTTTAGCGCCGCAAACAGTATTATTTTGTTTGAAAAATAAAACACATATTTAAATACATTTAAATTGATCTCAAAAAAATTGTTTGTTTAGTTAGTATTATTTTTTAAGAGATTTTTTTTTGTTTGGTTATAAAATATAACGCAATGCCGACCACCACCACTACTACTACTACTAGTAGTAGTAGTAGTAATAGTAGTAATAGTAGGCTAACCACTAATGGCGCGCCCCCGCCGTCCCCGTCGTACATATCGCCGTCCAAACGGCTAATGGCCTCAACAATTAGTTCACTGGCCAAACAAAAATGTATGTTTTTTAATTATAAAAATTATCATGGTTAATTAGATTTATTTTTAAAATTTTTAAATTATCTAGTATTATAAAATAATTTGCATTTTTTGTTATTGAAATTTTTGTTAGTTTGTAAAACACATGTTAAAAACCAATATATATGCTGTATATATGTTTAATTTGAAAGTTTTTTTTTAAATTTAAAAAATTATTATTAAAAAAATGATTAATTAATTTCATGTTATATTTAAAAAATAATGTCTATTTTAGACAATATATATATAATAAATAATTTTTAATGATTAATTAGCTAAAAATATATATACCTATTATATAAATGTCATTATTATTATTAATGAAAAATTTATTATTTTATATCATATTTTTTAAAAAAATCATATGAAATTAAAGGGTTATATAATTTAGATATATTTTTTTGTTGGGATTTTTTTAATTTTATTATTATTAGTTAAATAATAATAAAACAAAAATATCTTATCAATTGTTTGCTTGCTTTTACCGACAGATAATTATTGCAAATATTTTATTATATATTTTTTCATTAAATTAGCAAATATTATGTCAAATAATACCCAATAAAAACAATTAGTTATTATTAAAAAAAGGATATTAAATTTGTTGTCCCTAACGATAACTTTATTTTATCATTAAATAACTTTATATATATATACTATTATTTAGTGTAATAATAATAATAATAATAATTTTTATGCCAAACAATTGATTAAATATTTTTTTTAGATTATAATGTGACACTATTTTTTAAAGATAATTAATTAATATTTTCAATCTTTTCAATTAACTATTTTTTATATATACAGTACAGTATAACTAAATACTGATATCAGATATTGATATCAATTTATTTTTATTTTATTTTTTATGGTAATCCCTATTCAGACAAACAAACTATTATTAGTTTATTTTTATAAAAAAAACACTTTAAATAGTCATATCATTTATTAATGTATTTGTTTTGTATGTATGATAGCATTTGCCACCAATAATAATGATATGATGATGATGTCCGGCTCCGGTATGTCGGTCAGTGCCATCACTAATGGCGGTAATGGTTATCATCACTATCAGCATCATTATCCACATAATCAACATCAAGAAGTGATGACAGTAATGATGAAACGGCCGACAAACCTGACCCGTACTCGTAGTCTACGATTACCGCAGAGGTCGAAGAGTCATCAGTTGACCACCGGTTCCGCCGCCGCCGTCGCCGCATCCGATAGGAGTCACGGTATGTACTGTTAGTGGGGTCCCAACCTATACCCCACCCCACCCAACTAACTGTTCACTTAACAAAATTAAACACTTAATTTGTACACTAATTTATTGACTATTATTTTATTTTATTTATTTTTTTTGATGGTATTATCGATATTATAGTTTTTTTAGAAGCCATTCTCTACTATTAGAAACATATATAGGATATAAAATTATATGATATATATATATATTTATAGCTAAAAATATATATTTACTTATATTTAGTTAACTAATATCGTATATTTACAGTATAAATGCATTGAAATTAGTTTATATACTGTATATAAATACCTAATCGACTAATGACTTGAAAAAAATAATTTTTTTTGTTATTATTTCTAACAAAATATTAAATCACGACTTTTTCTCCAACAGTGTTTAAAAATAGGTAATTAAAAACACACAGTTTTTTTGGTGGTATTTTTTTAAGATACAAAAATTAAAAAATTATCATCAATTTATTAGTATATAAATATTTTTTGCTAATATTATAATTGAACCGATCGATCACACTTTTTTTTGTTTAATAATTTATTTTTTGTTTGTTTGATGGAAATTAATTAACTAATTAACAAAATCATAAAATAAATTGTATTTAAATTATTTAATAATTTAAATCATGAATTGCGGTAATGTGTTTTCAATGATTTTTTTGCAATTAAATAATTTTACAAATATAAATATTTATATATTTAACAATAACAACAACGATAAAATTAATTTAAATTTATGTATATTTTAAATGTTTATATTTTATTTTAATATTTATTTATTCAGAATCTTAGATTTCAGAGATTTTTAATTACTATTAAAATTATTACAGTATTTAAAAAATATAGTTTGAATTAATTTTTTTTTTGGAAAACAATTGTTGTTTTTAATTAATACAAAATATTGCTTTTAATTGTAATTATTGTTTGTTTGTTTTTCTGCTAAAAACAGATTTTTTTTTTAATTATAAAAGTTTTATAAATGTTTTTATAGACAAAGATATACATAATATTATTATCAGTTCACGTCTTATCTCTATTTGAAACAACAAATAAAATTTATTAAAAAAAAGACTCACGACTTGTGAATTAATAATTAGTTTTTTTAATAATCAAAAATAAAATTAGTTTTAAACGAGATATACATATACTGTATATACAGTATATAAATGCTATTAAAAGTTAACATCAATTTCATTAATATAAAAACACATGTCATACCTGTTTATTTTATTACTTATAATATGCATACAATAATAAATAAATAAATAATTAGATATTTAAATATGTATATAATTTTATATATATATATACAGTATATATAAACGATATTAAATTGAAAAAAATAATAATTATCTACAATTTTATTATATACCATTATATTAAAATATTAAAATAGTGTATATAATTTAAATAATTTTCAAAATTAATAGTTTTATTTATTTATTTTTGTTGTTTAAATATTATATGGTTATAAAAATATTTTTTAATAAATTATTATTGAAAAACATATATTTACTTAATGTATTAATTGATGTATAATAATAATTGATTTTTTGAAAAATAATAAGTTTTTTAAAATTATGCAATTAATTAATTATTATTATTTAATTTTCAATTATTATCATATTATCTGATATTTAGATTTGAGTCCCAACTCGGATGACAACAACCATCATCATCATCAACATCACCACAACAACAGCTCGCGATTATTGGTGTCTGAATTGGAAAGACGACTGAAAGACTGCGAACTACAGGTCAAAGAACTTGAAAGTGATATCAAAGAATCCAAAGAAACGGTAGAGTTCTTGACCAGCGAACGGACAATAATGGCCGAAACACTACAGGAAACTGAAGACAATCTGAAGATTGCCCGCGAAGACAATGGTTCGCTGAAGCGGACGATAGCCATGAAAGACGAAATGATCGATAAGTTGGGCGCCAAATATAACCGAAATCGTAAGGTTTGGGAACAAAACGAACTGAAAGCCGACGAAGAGATTAAAAAGTTGGACGATATGATCGATTTGGTCATTGAAACCCTGAAGTCGTTGCCCGATAAACATAGAAACTCGGATCAGATTCAGTCTTTGTTGCTTTTGTTGACCGCCGATGACAGCGATCATCATATTAATGGCAAATAAGTTTTATTTTTCTTTGTTTTTTTTATATTGTTTTTGTTATAATAATAGTAATTATTATTATTATTATTATTACTTTATTATTATTATTACAGTATTATTATTATTATAATTACGGTATATTTGAAATTACAACTATAGGGCCAAAAAATAATTACCGATAGTTTAGTTTTTTTAATTTTTATAAATTCATACATAATTTTTTTAAACATTTTTAAAAAATAATTAATTTTAAGTATTTACGGTAAATATTTACTGTAAAATTCATTTTATTTATATATTGTATATTTTTCTCATTACACTAATTGAATTCAGACAAAAAACAAGTTTTTACTTAAAATTTTAAAAGTTTTTACTTAATAATTATTAAATACAGTACTTATTAATTGTTAAAAATATAAAAAAATTTTACCAGAATATTCTAAGTATTTTAATATGTGTTTAAAAATTATTTTTTTTAAATATATATGATTTTTTAAAAATTTTGTATTTATAATTTTTTAATTACCATTATATATATAAATTATATTTTAATACTTTATTATTATTAATAAATTTACAATTATTTTAAATAAAAAAGAAACGAATAAAAAAAGTTATAATACATGAGTCTTATAATATATTTATATACTTTTTTATATAATTTAGTTTTAATAACAGTTAAAATCATTATTATTTTCATAGATTATTAATAATAAAAATTTATATCTAAATCCATTACAAATTAGTATAAATCAAATATAAATTATACAGTGGATAGTACTGTATATACTATCCCCAAAAAAAATCAATAATAAATTTAATAAAATAATTATTAAATTAATAAATTATTAAACATTTTTCTTACATAACCAGAATATTCTCGTATATACAGAATATTCTGTTAATGTTTACGCATGTGTTGTGTGTATGTATGTGTGTATGTATGTGTGTATGTATGAGTGTGTGTATGTATGTGTGTGTGTATGTATGAGTGTGTGTGTGTGTGTGTGTGTGTGTGTGTGTGTGTGTGTGTGTGTATGAGTGTGTGTGTGTATGAGTGTGTGTGTGTATACATGAGTGTGTGTGTATACATGAGTGTGTGTGTGTGTGTATACATGTGTGTGTGTCTACAGTAATCACATTTAACTCACATAACAAAATAATAACAGAATATAATAGATAACTACAGTATAATATATGTACAGTAATTTTTGACATAAATTAAAACTAAATAATTTTATTATATGTTTTTTATTTTTGATAATGTTATAAATTACTACAGTATTAATATTATGATATAAATTAAATTTCTTATTAAAAATAATAAATCTTATAAAATATGAGTACAATTATCGGCAATCGTTACTCGTTTGATCGATTTGGTGACGACCTGTCGGAAGTATTGCTCAGTTATCTCCGATTTCATCAGCGATTCAAATACGAATGTGTGTCCAAACAGTTCCGACGGACGATATTTATAACACAAACAGAGCTAACACTGGACTACTATACGGTTGGACAACAACAACAACAACGGCACCAAACTGTTGACACCAACAATGCCGACAACAACAACCCGAAGATTCTGGAATCGATTCTCCGGAAATGTCCAAATCTGTACAAACTAACCGTCGGGTTTGATGCCCGGCTAGCAGTGGACAACCAGTTTTTCGAGTTGTTAATGAAATATTGTCCAAATCTCAGAGAGTTTCGGTTGAATACCAATAGTCAGCCGGAATGCTGTTGCTATCAAAGTTCAGAAATTGTTGACCAATTTTTTCGCCAATTTGGCCACCAATTGACTGAACTAAGGTATCGTATTCCACGTAATCTACTGTTGAGAGACTCGTTGGACAAGAATCTCCCGAATTGTCCTAATCTAGTGGTGTGCGAACCGGACATCATTTACGACAGCCTAATCAGTACACAGTGTGTACTCAAGAAACTGTTTGATGATAATAATAATTATCGATTGTTTCCTAAACTACAAACATTTTATATGGAGTTTAACGGCAACACTGATAGTAGACTATGGGATCTGTTTGTTCAGACCTACGGTCAGACAACTGTACGGTCGATTGTGTTGACCATTGATAGCAATTGCAACTACCGATCCATAGAGTCAGTGCTGACAGGTTTGGCACAAATCGCACGATTAGTTCACCTGAAACTGGACATCATCAGCGATAAAGATCGGCTACCAGTCGACCAGTTACTCGAGCTATTGAACCGGGATTTTCGTAGAGTTGGTACCGATTGTCGAAAACTGGTGCGACTATCGTTGGGTTTGAAGGTTCACTACAAAAAACTGACGCCACAATTGATACGCATTATCAACGAAAGCTTTGGCCAACTGAGACATCTGGAGCTAAGATTAGGATTTCCAGAGTTGGTATACGAACTGAGAAGCGAAAAACTAGCCGATTGTAAACAGTTGACCCATTTGTCCATTGAATCGCTTAACGGACACAAATCTTCTTCATCGTCGGCGTCGTCGTCGTCTTCAAATCGATGGTCAATGGATTCGTTTTTCAAAGACATGGACATCAATCTACCGAAACTTGTTTATCTTTCGATTAATTCTTCAAGAATTCAAATCAACGATAAATTAGTGGATCAGTTGTTGTCATCGGTTAGAAATTGTCAACTAATTAGACGTCAATCAGATCAACAATTGGTAATCAAATTTTACAAAATTAAATCGGTTCCTAAATCACCAAGGTTGTTAGTTAGCGGTTATAATCATTTTTAAAATAATAATTTACAGGTAATAATATTTATAACCTATTATACAGTATATTTTTTTATATTTTTAAATATAAAAATTATACACTACCTAAAAAATGTTATAAATTATATAAATCATATCAAATAATTATTATGTATTTTTTAAAATAATAATTGATTGCATTCCTAATAATAATAATTTTCAAATAAAATAAATTTTCACATTAACTTTAATTTAATTAATTTTACAACTATAATTCTTAAATTATCTAAAATTTTAATGTTTTTATATAATTTTAGATATATAACTGGATTAAAAAAAACTGTTACAAATATAAAAAATTTTATTATTATTTCTAAACAAAATTAACTGTTAAGTAGATCACTATTACGGTAACTATTAGTTGATGAGAGTATTATCGTAAAATTATGGTACAAACAAACAAACAAAATATTTACAAATTTATATAAATATACAGTATATATATTAAAAAAAACATAAATAAATCAATATATAAACTATTTATATAAACAAGTGATAGTTATCTCCATTTAGGAGTAAAATCGCTATTAATATCAAATTTATTATTATTATTATTAGTTTTATGTTTAGTAGAATTTTTGGCTTTTATATTATTATTATTATTATAATTATTACTATTATTTTTATGGCAATTCGTATCAATAGTTTGTTGTCTGATTCTTTGATTCGTTGACTGTGTCTGTGGTTTGTTGTCCACAGTTTTCGTTGTTGTCGACGACGACGACGACAACAACAATGAATGCAATTCTTGTAATTCAGTGATCTGTCTTTGTTTGGCTGATATACGTCGAGACAGGAAAAACAGTTCGCGATTAAAGTCCAATCTTCGCTGCGAATCTTCACCCAATTGTTCCAATTGTCGGCTCAAGTGTTGTATTTCACTGATAAAGAAAAAAAATCGTTAAATCAATTGATTTTTAAACTAAAAAAAAATTATTAATTACTCGCAGATATAGTCGTGTTCTTCAATCAAACCATACAACAGTTCTTTGATTTCTGTGTCCAACGTCACTGTCCATAGTTTATCGTCGAATATCTTGCGCACCGGTATGTTGTGACGGCAAAGATTGCTGTGCTGTTTGAGTCGCGATATTTCCAACTGACGGTTGGCTATCACTGAATAACTGTTTGATGTCTTTTCGGGGGAAAACATAGAAGAAAAAAAACATTAACAAAAATTCTCAATAAATATAATCGAAATAATCACATACTGTTCCCAATAGGAAAGGTATGTCACGGTATTGCAGATGAAAATGTTTGTTTGGTCTAACGCCCGCTATTGGCGATGATCTATGACTTAATGTGTCCAATGATCGCGATTTCGGTATCGAACCGTTCGGTGGTGTTGTTGTTGTCGGTGTTGACCTTTCGTTTGATGATTTCAACAACAGCTGTTTGATGGCCGCAATGGACGACTCGTAGTGATCATCGTTTACGAGTCGATAACGCTTATCGGCGGTGACAACATTGTGGTCGACAGAGGCGACACCGCGTGAACTTAAACCCTGTGTGCGCTTTCTCTCCGGCGATGGCGACGATGATGATGACAATCGGCGGCCATCACTTTGTTGTTGTTGTTGTTGGTCAGCGATCAGAGTATGACCACCGTTTACGACAGCGGCAGTGTGTCTATTGGCCGTCAATTGAATTGAAATGGTCTGCAATTGTGATTCAATTAGCTTTAGCCGATTGTCGAGCGACTGATTATAATTGTCATCATATTGTTGTTGTTGTTGATGATGATGTCGTTGTGCTTTGTGGTCATTATGATGATAATGATGATGACAGTCACCACTGTGTCGATGATCTCCATCACCGCCATCATCAACACCATTGATGACAACACTATTAGCTGGCGTACGGCGATCGCCGTCACCAGTAGATGGAGGACAGGTATGGCGCTGGGTATCCATGGCGGCAGTGACTGATGTCGTCTCATTGGCGGCCAGTTTGACCAACTTTTTCGTCGTCGTCGTCATTGTCGACGTTTTCTTCGCATTGTTTTTGTCAACTGTTTGCTGTTGTTTTTGTCGAAGAAGTTTTGTCTGTATTTTTCTCAAAGCGTTCAATAGTTTTTCGCCTTCAGTGGACACAATACCGACGCCGACAATCGGACGGCCAATCTCTTGGAAACTGGTCATCGTCTCCGATGTTGTCGTCGTTGTCGTATCCGACGACATACTTCAGGTACCGAAACCACCAAAAAAACAAATCAAATCAAATAAATAACAAATTGATTACTGATATCAATAGATAATAAACACAATAATAGATAACAATGTGTTTGTGTTTATATATATGTTATATAACTTTGTTATAATGTATTACAACTATTGTATTGTCTGATTGAATGACACAATACAACACAAACAGCATAACACTATGGGTTACTATATGGGGTTGTCTATGGGTTCTAAAGGGGGGGTTCAATAAACTGTTGGTTTCTTCAATGTGTGGGTTAAATACATGTACTACCAGTGCTTAGGGTATAATTAACAACTGTAGGGTGCAGTTGTTTTTTATATCTCAAATCCAAATTTCTAAATATGTAGATCCCGTTCCCCCTCAGTCCTAATCAATCACTTATTTTTAAAAAAAAAATATATTTATTTATATCTATATATATCCCTAATCCTCCCGCTCTCTATCAATGCGCGCCCACACACATACATATTAGCCCAACCCCTGGGCTTAACTCTCTCTCGAAACTTGACTGACAGTGTGTTTGTGTTTAAAAATATATAACAAATTGTTTTTGTGTTTCAAAAATAGACAAAACATATGATTGGTTGTCAATGAAACACAACGACAACAGTGACGTATTATAAGAGGGTTATACACAAACACTAGTCCATTATTATTATTATTATTACATTATTGAAAATATTATATACTGTATTTAATTTTTTTTAAAAAATTAAATAATTATAGTTTTTTGTTAAAAAAAATTATTGCAATTATTTTTATTTATTAAGTTTTAATTAAACTGATTATATATTTTATTTCTAGTGTCAAACAATTTTTTTTTGTTTAATAGAATATAACAGTCTATACGAATGGAATGTTTTAACTATTGTTTAATATATTTACTGTATATTTGATATTCTATTTCAAAGAGAGCATTGTTTTTGTGTTGTTTATCAACAAAAAAATGTGACGTAAAAATAGATGTTGAATAAAAACAGGTTTTATATATATATATATATAAACCAAAATCAAAACCGCCGGAAATGTTTGATATATAATATATATATATTTTTTAAAAAAACCGATAAAATCTAATAATAATTATATTATTATTTTCTATTCAATACTCTATTGCAGTAATTATCTAAACCGAAAAAAATACTATTGATATCTATTTGTTATTATAATTTAAAAATTGTGTGGACACACAAAAACGAAACCCGAAACCGTTTTTTTTATACAGTATTTAACTCTAATTTTGGAGATAAACCTTAAATTTATTATTACATTATAATAACATTGAGTGTCATTGAATGAGTTAGTGAGTCAATGAGTTAATGAATAAATGATTGAATAATTTTGAGTCACTGAGTGAGTCCTCTAATACTACTACTACTACTGTACTAACTGTGAGTCTCATTAAGTGATTATATTTATATTAAGAGATCATACGATACGTGAGTCCAAACACACACACATGTAGTAAGTGATTGATAGTCACATAATAAACAACATTAAGTTATTTAAGTTATTATTTTAATAGTTATTAATATTATTTTAATAAAATTTTTTAATTTATACTAAAATATATAATCAATAGTATTAATAGTAATAGTTATTTATAACAAACAAATTAATTAATTGACAATACATTTGTTAATTAGTTTTATTTTATTTTAGTATTTATTATTTAATAATAACTAATAATAATAATAATAATTAAAAAACTTTTTTATTTTTTTGTGTCTTAATATTTAATATGAATTTAAATTAGTTTTTTTGTTTAATATATTATTGTGTTTATCGACTGTCCAGTGATTATCGACTAGTGATAATTGACATTATTATTATCATTGTATTTGAAATAAAAAAAACAATCATCCAGGTGTATCAATGTGTTATTATTAATTATATAATTTTTTTAAATATAAATAATAATAATAATGTCGCCAATAAGCAAGGTCGATTCAATTTATCGTACAATATTGTTGTCCAAATTTTTTACCCGAGGCTGGGGTCACCCGGAGTATATGAAAAAGTATGTATTGATATATATGATAATTACCATGCTACTTTTTTTATAAAAAAAACAAAAAATAAATTAGAATTTTAAAAGTTAGTAAAAGTGAATTAATTTTTTTTTATTTAATTTGTTAGCTAGTTAGTTATTTAATTATATATTTTAACTAATTTTAAAAAAAAATTGTGCAAATCATTAATATAGTTTAGTTGAATTTTAAATTAGAAAATTATTATTATTATTTTTTTTGCAACATCATAACTATTTTTTAAAAATATATTTATATATGTAATCTAATTTTATTTACAGTTTAAATTATTATTATTATTATTATTATTATTATTATTATTATTATGACATTATATTTGATATATAAAATAAGTTTTATTTTAAATTGGCAAACTTACAACTATTTTTAAACATAATAAAAAATAACTTATAATTTTTTAAACTTATAATATCAATGTACTATAGTTTACAGTAATTTTTTTTTTTTGATTAATACTGTTTTTAATAAATTTTTATTAATAAAATTTAGTTTATTAACCTCCTCCCCCTTTATCTAAAAAGTTAATTGACTTTGATAATAATAATAATAATTTTTTTACATTTTAAAATTGTAAAAAACATAAGTAAAAAAATAAAATTAAAATGTTTTAAATCACTATTAAAGCCAATTTATTAAAAAATAAAGTAATAATGAAAATTATCCATGTCAATAATCCAGATAATAAAATATCAATTTAAAAAAAATGTTTTTTATAAGATAATAAAAAAATTATTTTTATTATTATTAACTATATTTTGTTAAATAATTTTAAGTTTGTTTTAATTAATTAAATTTTTGTTTGTTTTTTATTTTACAGAATATTTAAATTTCGTAAAATAATATCCAATCGCCAGACCTGTCAGGGATTGGTAGCCAACGATCATCTCATTTATATTGACTCACAAACTGAACACAACTCGACCTACGATGTCTTCGAAGGACATTTCATGAGTCCGTTAGTCCAATATTTGCCCGAATTGGTACCGAAAGAGTCACAAATTGCCAAATTTCAGTTAATTTTACCGAAACAATGGCCGCAGAGTGGCCTGAAACCCGTATGCCTTCATTTGGCCGGTACTGGCGATCATGTATGTCCTGTTGTCATGTCAATTGTTTTAGTAAAATGAAAATATCTTTTACCGATAATATCTTTCTATTATATTATATATATTTCATTTGATTGGATTGAATGGATCAGCATTTTTGGCGCCGACGAACACTTATGGCCAAACCGTTGCTCAAAGAATATGGAATCGCTTCGATAATTCTGGAGAATCCGTTTTGTAAGCATTTATTTATTTATTTTTATTTTTTTTGATAATTTTATTTTGTAATATTAAATAATAATATTTTTTTTTGGATTTAATTTACCGATAATCTCTCTCTCTCTCTCTCCGTCCCGTTGAATAGACGGGTGCCGCAAACCGCCGGATCAGACGAGATCTAGTCTTAAAAACGTATCGGATATCTTCATAATGGGCGGCTGTCTGATACTCGAATCGCTGGCACTGTTTAATTGGTGCGAACGTATGGGCTTCGGGCCACTGTGTATTACCGGCATATCAATGGGCGGACATGTATGTTATTAATACGATAATATTAATTCAAATACTGTATATATATTTTTTGTTTTTTTTTAAATTACAATAATTATTATATATATTATTGATTATGACAACAGAATGCAGCCCTGGCCGGAACCAATTGGCACAAACCTATTGGTATAGTTCCCTGTCTTTCATGGACTACCGCTTCCTGTGCTTTCACTCAAGGTTAGGATCCAATCAAATCAAATCATCGAATTGATTTGATTTGAAGATAATAATAATAATAATATATTGGATCCATAGGTGTTATGACTGGTTCTATTCCGTGGACACAACTCGAAGAAGAATATCTATCCTATGGTGAAGAGCTTATCGATGAACTCCAGAAGCTGATCCATTCGCCTAAATATGTATGAGTTTTGTTAAGAGACTCTCTCTCTCTCTCTCTCTCTCTCTCTCTCTCTCTTACAATAAATCATCAACTAATTGGTTGATTGAATGATATCTATTTGTTAGGAACCGGCTATAAATCAGGCCTTTGACGCCGGCCGACAGTTTGCCAAGAATTTCCCGAATATTTTCGATTCGATTCTTGAGTACGACTTTATTAGGAATATATTTGCCACAAAAAGTACAAATATATCGACGACAAAGACAACGACTAATAATAATAATAATAACATCAATAGTAGTATTCAGCCAAAAGCGGCGGCAAAAACAAAAACATTGGACTTTATGCGCGGCGTAATGGACGAGTGTACACATTTGGCCAATTTTTCGGTACCAATCGATCCGGAACTGGCCATCATAGTCAATGCCACGCACGACGGCTACGTACCACGACAGAATGTACAACCGTTGACCGACATATGGCCAGGTGCTCGGGTACGCTATGTCGATGGTGGCCACGTTTCGGCTATACTGTTCAATGCCAATGTTTTTCGTAAAGCCATTGCCGAAGCACTGGATCTGACGGCACAAAAATATTACGGAAACTCTCTGTTTGATAAACCACTGGTGTCTACCCAGAGAGTTACCAGTTAGATCTCGGGAGCCCCCCGGGGGGGTGGGTTGGACGGAGACAACAAATCAACTAATAAATATATATATATATATAAAAAATGTTATATATATTTAGTTTAAATATGTTTTTTTTAATGTATTTTGTTGTTGTTGTTTATAAAATAGATAAATTAATCGAAACAATTTGGTGATCAATAATTTGCTAATCAGTTATGTTTTTTTATTCAGAGATCTTATATATATATATATATATTAATATACAGTATATATTTTGTATATAAATTAAATATTCAATACTTTATAGTATAATTAATTAAAATATCAAAATATATATATAAAGATTTTTTTTGTAATAATTTTGTTACTCAATGTACACTCAAAAAAATAAGTTTTTTGATTATTAAACTTTTTTTAATATATATATATATATATATATATATAATTGTGATTCACATATATGTGTAAAATACAGGTATTTTTCTAGTTTTTTTTGACGATAGTTTTTTTTTGTTTGTTTATTAATTAAATTAGAATTATAAATGTTTTAAAAAATTGTTTATTAGGTAGGTTTTATATTTGAAAAAAAAATTTATAATTAAAATAAAGTTTGCATATTTATAATATGTAATGAATAAATTTCAATTTTTTTTAGTAAACTGTAATTTATATAATTTTTTTTTAATTGTAGTAGTATTTTAATGTAAAATATCATAATTTTGAAATAATAAATTTAATTATTAAAAACAAAATTTTACTAATAAAACTATTAAGTAGTATTAGTTAAATAATTATAGTATATATATATATACTTTATATTATTTTTTTATTATTATCATTATTATTATTGACCTAATATTATTTTTTTTATTAGTATAAAAAATAGTTTAAAACTAGTGAATACCGAGAATAATACATAATAAATACATTTTAAGTTAAATGAAAAATTAATTAATTAAATAAAAATCAGTAAATTATTTAATATATATATATTTATATATACATGTATTGACATACTTTTGTAATAGTATATATATATATATATAAATGATTAATTTTTATGAAAATTTTTAATAATTATGAGACAACTATTATATTATTATAATGATTAATAACAATAACATATCGTTATAACTATAATAAATATTTGTATATATAATTTTTATACTAAATTTAATATAATGTATAGATAGTAATTAATTTTATTTATTTAAAATAATAATTATTATATATGAATATGATAAAACTTTTATATGTACACTATATTACAATTTTTTAAATTAATAATGTAAAAGTTAAAAATTAAAAATTAAATACAATACAAATAATATTAATAATTAATACTGACAACAGTTTAGATATAAATATTAAAATACATAAAATATAAAATAAACTATTAAAAAAAACTACTATACTGTAATAATAAAATATTTATTATAATGCTAATTGATTTTAAAATACAGTATTATCAATAGTTTATGATATCGTTTGATATATTTAAAAATTGCTGTCTAATAATTAATAGAAAAATAATTATAACTAAGTTTTAAAAAAATAAAAATAACAAACCATTTTTTATAAAAAAAAAGTGCCAGTAATTAAACACAAAATATTATAATTATTATCATTATTATGTTTTGTATTTCTATATTGTTTGTAAAATAATGTTTTTGTAATCAATTGTATAAATGTGTAATTTTTTTGTAATTATTAAAAATAAAATCAATAGAAATAATATATATTTTAAAATTAGTTAATATATAGCAGTTAAGTTATAGTTAAATTTAGAGTTAAGCAGTTAAATTTAAAATTTATAAAAAAATTTACTAGTTAGTATTTTACTTTATTATTATTATTATTATTATTATTATTATTATTATCATCATCATTTATTTATTTATTTATAACAATGAATGATGAAATTATAATAACTAAGCCATCAAAATATGTACGTGCCAATATATTCAGCAAGGTCTATTGCACGTAAGTATTTTATATACTGTACATAATTATATAATTTCATAGATTTCAAAAATAATTTTTTATATATTGCATAAACACATATAAATTTATTTGTAAATATATTTATGTTTATCGATGTACTAATCAAACCGATACACATACTGTATGATCGGTAATGTGTAACCACTACTGTATAGATGGCTATACCCGATGTTCATACGTAGCCTCAAACGCGATGTCCAAATCCATGATCTGTACAGATGTCCGCCGGAGGACATGTGCGAGACAGTGGTCGCCAAACTGGAAAAGTATTGAATATATAATTTTATTATTAAACAGAAATAAATTTATTTATTTATTACATTATATAACCCTAGAAATTGGCGAAAAGAGTTAGCAAAACAATCGCCAAGTTTTATGTGGGCATCGATTAAGACATTTTCGGGATCCATAGTATTGCCGATTATATTAATTATATTAGATGTAAGACTAAATAAAAATTACTTATTTATAAAATATAATATATATAAATCATATTATATTATACTGTATTTTTCACATAAAATAGATCATTTAAGTACAGTATTATTAATTGATAATTAATATTAAATAATATTTCATAGGAATGTGTAATTTATAACTTGAATATGATATTGTTGGCCAAATTGTTGGCATTTTTTGCCGCACCCGACAAACACAACTATTTGCATACCTGTCTGTATGCCTGTGCTATGATTGTTACAATCATACTAAATATATCGTTTGCCCATCCATCGATGCTACTATCGGCCAAACTGGCCATGAATATCAGGGTCAGTTGGTGTACACTTATCTACAAAAAGGTATAAAAACGGTTTATAATAATAATAATATAATTATTATATTATAATATTAACAAAATGTATTGTTGTTGTTGTTGAAGGCATTGCGTTTGAAACACTCGGCGTTTTCAAAGACAACAATCGGACAGATATTGAATCTAATGTCCAACGATGTCAGCCGTTTGGAAGAAGTAATGATAATACTAATGATAATTATTTAACTTATAGTAATATTTATAATAATATGAATCCAAATCAGTTTTGTCAGCACTTTGCTTATCTGATTGCCGGTCCGATTAACATTGCCATAGGTGTGGCCATATGCTGGCAATACATCGGTTGGGTGTCATTCATAGGACTGGCTATACTCATGTGTTTTATGCCATTCAATGGTCTAATGGGCCGATTGTTTCTCAAGATTAGGTCAGTGCTGTGCAATATTTGATTGAAAAATATTGTCACAAATTGTATTACTTTTTCGAAAAATAATTAGGAGAAAAGTGGCCGCACTTACCGATAACCGAATTCGTTTGATGAACGATATAATAACTGGTATGAGTGTTATCAAAATGTATGCCTGGGAACGACACTTTAACAAACTTATAGCCCATGCCCGCAGGTATATGTCTATTAAGGTAAATACATATTATATTAAAAGTATACAATTTTTGAAGGAAAGAGATGAAACAAATACAAAAGTCGACACTTCTTAAAGCGCTAAACAGATCCATATCCGATATCAGCGGTCGGGTTATCATATTTGTCATATTAATAGTCCATATACTATTAGGCGGTAGACTGACCGCCGAAACAGTGTTTATCTCAATGTATATCTTCCAGGGCTTACAGTATTCAATGACCTCTGCCTTTTCGCTAGTGATGGCACTGACTGCCGAAGTGTATGTCTCAGTTAAACGTATTCAGGTATTGTCTGACTATATCACCAATAAAAAAATCATTGTCTATAACAATAATATCTAAACATTGTTATATTGTTAGACATATCTACTATTAGAGGAAATTGGAGATAAAAACCAATTGAATAATGAAAACAGTGTCCAAAACAATGGCAGCGAAAGCATACCGCTCTTAGCACATAATAAACAGCACCGGGATGTCAATGATGATGACACTAACAATACTAATAAAACTATTATTGTCGATAATTTATGCGCCACTTGGGATACAGTAAATTATTAGCTATTTGTATACTAATATTAAGATTACAGTAATGATTTCATACAGGAGCTTAAATGGCAAACAATTAAAGACATAACTGTTTCGTTAGCATCGGGCGAGTTGTTAGCTGTTATCGGACCGGTTGGTAGTGGAAAGGTATGGAAAAATAAATAATTTTAATATTTGAATTTAAATATATTTTTTGTTTACTTATACTTTGTTTTTACTATATATTATAATAAACCTATTCTAGAGTTCATTTCTAATGTCACTATTAAATGAGATTCAAATAACCAGTGGTCGGGTATCCGTAAAGGGATCGGTAGCCTATGCCTCACAGGAAAGTTGGATATTTAACTCAACAGTTCAACAAAACATAACGTTTGGAAAGCCGTATGAAATAAAGCGATTCAAAGAAGTCATATCAGTCTGTGCTATGAATCGCGACTTAAAGATGTTTCCGTTCGGCGAGCGATCTCTGGTCGGCGAAAGAGGTGTTACACTCAGTGGCGGACAAAAAGCTCGGATAACATTAGCCCGGTTTGCAGTTTAATAACAATAATAATAATTATTATTATTAAATATAAAAATTACTATAATGTTAAACAAATAATCCATACATACCAGTGCTCTGTATACTAACGCCGATATCTATCTATTGGACGATCCTTTAAGTGCTGTCGACACTGAAGTTGCGAATCATATCTTTAAAAAGTATTTGTTTTTATATTTTCTTATAATTAAAATATTTTTATTATTATTATTATTTACAAATTTCTTTCAGATGTATCACTGAATATCTGAAATCAAAATCAGTGATTCTCGTCACACATCAGATACAGTTCATCAAAAAGGCCCACAAAATACTGGTACTACGCGAAGGTCGGCCACTGGCTGTCGGTTCCTATACAGAGCTTATGGAAGCGGGCATTGATTTTATGTCACTTATTAAAGAGGAAGAAAAACCTATAGTTAATAAACAACAGATGAATGCTGTCATCATTAGTGGCGATGACTTTAGACAACGAGCCATAAGTTGGATATCTTCACAGTCGGGACAAGTAGTTATCATTTAATATAATATTTAATTTTATTGTAATTTACTATTTTATATAAACTATAGGCTAACTTTGGTGATGATAGTGACGAGAAAATAGATGACGAACTAAAGGCTCGCGGATCAGTTGACGCCCGGATCTATTGGGAGTACATCCGATCGGGTGCCGGACCCGCACTACTAATTATTGGTCTAATATCGACACTATTATCTCAAGGTTTGGAAAACTACACTGATATCTGGCTGTCTGAATGGATTAATCGGGACACCAATAATGTCGCCGATAATTTCACCGATAATTTCACCGATAATATCACCGATAATACCATTAGTGATGACAACAAATTGAATGAAACAGAAAACATTAAGATCTATTCAATACTTTTGGTGACTATATTTCTATCATTAATACTACGGTCGACCACTTGGTTTGTAATGTGTATCAAAGCGTCAATCAATTTACACAACAGAATATTCTATCGACTAATGAGAACCAGAATCACGTTTTTCGACACAAATCCTGTCGGTAATTGAATTAAATTTTTTTTCAGGAATTTATTTTCATATTAAGAGATAACAAATGTAAATTAAATTTTTATTTGTTATCTCTCACCAAGAATTTAATATATTTAGTAAAACAAATATATTAATATAATTATATTATTTTATAGGTCGTATTTTGAACCGATTTACCAAAGATATGGGTACTGTCGATGAAAATTTACCGTTTGTTTCATATGAAGTCAATAAAGTAATCAAAAAAATTTATTAAACTGATATTTTTATTTATTTATTTAATAATTAATTAATTAAACAATTATTTTATATACAAAGTATATAATACTTACGTTAGGATTGTTAACAGTGGTTGTAATTTCCAACTATTATCTAATTATTCCGGCCATCGGTCTATTGGCCGCTGTATTAGCTATTCGTTGGATTTATTTGAAAACTAGTCGCGATTTACAGCGTTTCGAGGGAATCGGTATTTTAATAGTTAATAATTTAATAATATTTTACAGTCGTTGTCATATAATATAAATAGCCCGGAGCCCACTGTACAATCATATGACAACAACGCTGATCGGACTGACCACAATTCGTGCCTATCGTGCGGAACATTTGTTTCGTGAACAGTACTATCGCTACCAGAATGACCATTCGTCCACTTTTTTCATGCAATTAGCCGCCACCCGGTGCTTAGGTTAGGTTATAATATACTAGTATTAATATAATCTATAATATATATATATAAATAGGTATAACAATGGAATTTATTTGTGTCGCTTATATTTCGTGTGTGATTTGTTTTTCAATGATTTTTTATAAAGGTTTAAATATATACAGTATATACTATTTATTAATTTTAGTAAATACTACTATTTATATTGTATTAATAAATGATTGATTAATTACTCTTATTAGACCTAGAAAGTGGTACGGCAGGTCTAATAATATTTATGGCATTGAATTTAATAGGAAACACACAATACGGTATCAGACAGTCGGCCGAAATGGAGAATCAGATGACATCAGTCGAGAGAATTGTTGAATACTCTAAACTGGAATCCGAAGGACTAATCGACAGTGAGATACCACCACCTGATGAATGGCCCGACAAGGGATGCATTGAACTCAGACACGTGTACTTGACTTATGATAATTCACCGAAACCTACACTTTATGATCTAAATTGTCGGATCAATGGCGGCGAGAAAGTTGGAATAGTTGGCCGAACCGGTGCCGGAAAGTCGTCCATATTATCGGCACTGTTCCGTATGCACGATATCAAAGGCAATATCATTATTGATGGCATCGATCACAAGACTATAGGTCTACACGATTTGCGTAGACATATGTCAATCATACCTCAGGATCCCATGACTTTTATCGGCAGTTTGCGAAAGAATTTGGATCCATTTGATGAACATTCTGAAGATAGACTGTGGGAAGTGCTTGAAGAAGTGCAACTCAAGGAGGCTGTTATGGAAATGTCCGGTCAGTTGGAGTATCAACTGTCAGAAGGCGGTGGCAATCTGAGTGTAGGTCAGCGCCAACTCATATGTCTGGCCAGAGCTATACTCCGCCGAAATCGGATTCTTGTGTTAGACGAGGCAACAGCTAATGTCGACCACAAGACGGATGCACTGATTCAGCGGACAGTTCGTGAAAACTTTGCCGACTGTACTGTACTAACAATTGCTCACCGATTGAATACAATCATAGACTCGGATCGGGTACTGGTTCTCGATTCCGGACGTATTATGGAGTTTGGCGTTCCCTACGAATTATTACAGAATAATTCGGGAATGCTTTACAAACTCGTTAAGCAAACCGGTGTCCAAATGGCCGATCAATTGATACAATTGGCTAAACAATCGTATGATTATAAACAAACTAATGACAATTGATGTTAAATTACTTTATAATACAATTTAAATATATAACTAATATATGATTTTTATTTGGATAAATTCATAATTATTTTAATACAATTATATTATTATTTAAAAAAAAAAACGATAATAGTAATAAAATATTTAGTATAATACTATTTCATTTAAAATGATTTAATAAACTGGTAGTATATTATAAGTTATATGTTATATCTATATCTATTGTATATAAATTTATAAATATTTATTTATATAAAAAAATGCTGTCTAATATTTGAATAATTACTGGTAAAATAATTTAAGTGACTTCTAAAAATAAAATGACAGCACATTTTTTAAAAAAAGTGTCAATTATTAAACATAAATTATTATTATTATGTTTTGTATTTATTTATTGGGCGTTAAATAATGTTTTGATAATTTGATAATAAAAATTTACAATCATTAAATATTAATTATTTAAAAAAAAATAAAAATATTAATTAATAATATAATTTACTAGTTACTAGTATTTTACATTATTATCTGTTTTTTATTTATAACAATGAATGATGAAATTATAATAACTAAGCCATCAAAATATGCACGTGTTAATATATTCAGCAAGGTCTATTGCACGTAAGTTTATATACAGTATATATATATATATATATATATAGATATTATTTAAATAATTTTTCAATATTATATATATTGCATAAAAACATATACTATATACTGTATGTCTATCGATGTACTAATCAAACCGATACACATACTGTATGATCGGTAATGTGTATCCATTAATGTATAGATGGCTATACCCGATGTTCATACGTAGCCTCAAACGTGATGTCCAGATCCATGATCTGTACAGATGTCCGCCGGAGGACATGTGCGAGACAGTGGTCGCCAAACTGGAAAAGTATTTGTTTTTAAATTAGTCTTTTTTAAAAACAATAACAAAATTATTATTTATTTATTTATTAATTAAATTTTATCGCCTGAAGAAATTGGCGAAAAGAGTTAGCAAAACAATCGCCAAGTTTTATGTGGGCATCGATTAAGACATTTTCGGGATCCATAGTATTGCCGATTATATTAATTATATTAAATGTAAGACTAAATCCAATAAAATACTTTATCATAAAAATTATTATTTATAAAATAATAATAGATATATAATAATCATTATTATATTATACTGTATTTCTCACTTTTAAATTAGATTAGATAGAGTACAGTATTATTAATAGATAATTAATACATTAAATAATATTTCATAGGATTGTGTAGTTTTTAACTTGAATATGATATTGTTGGCCAAATTGCTGGCATTTTTTGCCGCACCCGACAAACACAACTATTTGCATACCTGTCTGTATGCCTGTGCCCTGATTGCTACAACCATAATAGCCATATCTTTTAACCATCCATCGATGCTACTATCGTCCAAACTAGCCATGAATATCAGGGTCAGTTGGTGTACACTTATGTACAAAAAGGTATAAAACGGTTTATAACATTATTATTATTATATTATAATTTTTTTTGAAGGCTTTACGTTTGAAACACTCGGCGTTTTCAAAGACAACAATCGGACAGATATTGAATCTAATGTCCAACGATGTCAGCCGTTTGGAAGAAGTAATGATAATAATAATAATTTTAGTTATATTAATAATTATAATAATATGAATCCAAATCAGTTTTGCCAACACTTTGCTTTTCTGATTGCCGGTCCGATTAATCTTGCCATAGGTGTGGCCATATGCTGGCAATACATCGGTTGGGTGTCATTCATAGGACTGGCTATACTCATGTGTTTTATACCATTCAATGGTCTAATGGGCCGATTGTTTCTCAAGATTAGGTCAGTGCTGTAGTAAAGGATTATTGTAATAGCATTATTGAAAAAAACTATTTTCACAAATTTTATGACAACCTTATTTTAGGAGAAAAGTTGCTGCACTTACCGATAACCGGATCCGTTTGATGAACGATATAATAACTGGTATGAGTGTTATCAAAATGTATGCCTGGGAACGACACTTTAGCAAACTTATAGCCAATACCCGCAAGTATGATTGTATTTTAAAAAAATACATATTGTATTAAAAGTATACATTTTTTTTGAAGGAAAGAGATGAAACAAATACAAAAGTCGACACTTCTTAAAGCGCTAAACAAATCCATATCCGATATCAGCGATCGGTTTATCATATTTGTCATATTAATAGTCCATATACTATTAGGCGGTAGACTGACCGCCGAAACTGTATTTATCTCAATGTATATCTACCAGGGCTTACAATATACAATGACCTATGGTTTTCCGCTAATGGTAGGACTGATTGCCGAAGTGTATGTCTCAGCTAAACGTATTCAGGTTAGGACTGACTATTCATAAAAAAATCAATGTCTAAAACAATAATGTATTTACTGTGTTAGACATATCTACTATTAGAAGAAATTGGAGACAAAAACCAATTGAATAATGAAAACAGTGTCCAAAACAATGGCAGCGAAAGCATACCGCTCTTAGCACATAATAAACAGCACCGGGATGTCAATGATGATGACACTAACAATACTAATAAAACTATTATTGTCGATAATTTGCGCGCCACTTGGGATACAGTAAATAACAAATTATAAGCTACTTGTATACTAATATTAACATTATAGTAATTGATTTTATACAGGTGCTTAAATGGCAAACAATTAAAGACATAACTGTTTCGTTAACATCGGGCGAGTTGTTAGCTGTTATCGGACCGGTTGGTAGTGGAAAGGTATGCAAAAAAATGAATGATATTTGAATGTAAATATATTTTCTGTTTACTTATAATTTGTTATTACTATATATTATAATAAACCTATTCTAGAGTTCATTTCTAATGTCACTGTTGAATGAGATACAAGTAACCAGTGGTCGGGTAGCGGTTAGAGGATCGGTAGCCTATGCCTCACAGGAAAGTTGGATATTTAACTCAACAGTTCAACAAAACATAACGTTTGGAAAGCCGTATGAAATAAATCGATTCAAAGAAGTCATATCAGTCTGTGCTATGAATCGCGACTTAAAGATGTTTCCGTTCGGCGAGCGATCTCTGGTCGGAGAAAGAGGTGTTACACTCAGTGGCGGACAAAAAGCTCGGATAACATTAGCCCGGTTTGCAATTTAATGAAATTATTATTATTATTAAATATAAAAATGACTATAAAGTTAATAATCCATACATACCAGTGCTCTTTATAATAACGCCGATATCTATCTATTGGACGATCCTTTAAGTGCTGTCGACACTGAAGTTGCGAATCATATCTTTAAAAAGTATTTGTTTTTATATTTTCTTATAATTAAAATATTTTTATTATTATTATTATTTACAAATTTCTTTCAGATGTATCACTGAATATTTGAAATCAAAATCAGTGATTCTCGTCACACATCAGATACAGTTCATCAAAAAGGCCCACAAAATACTGGTACTACGCGAAGGTCGGCCACTGGCTGTCGGTTCCTATACAGAGCTTATGGAAGCGGGCATTGATTTTATGTCACTTATTAAAGAGGAAGAAAAACCTATAGTTAATAAACAACAGATGAATGCTGTCATCATTACTGACGATGACTTTAGACAACGAGCCATAAGTCGTATATCTTCACAATCGGGACAAGAGGTTATCATTTAATTTGATATTTAATTTTATTGTAATTTACTTTTCTATAAACTATAGGCTAACTTTGGTGATGATAGTGACGAGAAAATAGATGACGAACTTAAGGCTAGCGGATCGGTTGACTTCCGGATCTATTGGGAGTACATCCGATCGGGTGCCGGACCCGTACTACTACTTATTGGTCTAATATCGACACTAGTATCTCAAGGTTTGGAAAACTACACTGATATCTGGCTGTCTGAATGGATTAATCGGGACACCAATAATATCAACCATAATGTAACTGATAGTACCATTAGTGATGACAACAGATTCAATGAAACAGAAAACATTAAAATCTATTCAATACTTTTGGTGACTATTTTTGTATCATTAATACTACGGTCGACCACTTGGTTTGTAATGTGTATCAAATCGTCAATCAATTTACACAACAGAATATTCTATCGACTAATGAGAACCAGAATCACGTTTTTCGACACAAATCCTGTCGGTAATTGAATTGATTTATTTTTCTGGAATTTATTTTCATATTAAGAGATAACAAATATAAAGTAAATTTATAAGAATATGATTAAAATTTTATTAATTTTTTAGGTCGTATTTTGAACCGATTTACCAAAGATATGGGAACTGTCGATGAAATGTTACCGTTTGTTTCATATGAATCCAATAAAGTAATCAAAAAATTTATTTATTAAACTGATTATTATTATAAAATAATTTTATTCATTTATTTCCTTAATTAAACAATTATTTTATATAAACAGTATATAATACTCACGTTAGGATTGTTAACAGTGGTTGCAATTGTCAACTATTATCTAATTATTCCGGCCATCGGTCTATTGGCCGCTGTATTAGCTATTCGTTGGATTTATTTGAAAACCAGTCGCGATTTACAGCGTTTCGAAGGAATCGGTATTTTACTTATAGATAATAATAATATAATAAATAAATAAATTTAAATGAAAAATATTGTACATCTAATAACAAATAGCCCGGAGTCCACTGTATAATCATATGACTACTACACTGATCGGACTGACCACCATTCGTGCCTATCGTGCGGAACATTTGTTTCGCGAACAGTACTATCGCTACCAGAATGACCATTCGTCTACTTATTTCATGCAATTAGCCGCATCCCGGTGCTTAGGTTAGATTAATGCTACTAATATTAATATATTAACTAATTTATCAAAAAATATATTTATAAATAGGTATAACAATGGAATTTATTTGTGTCGCTTATATATCGTGTGTGATTTGTTTTTCATTGATTTTTTATAAAGGTTTTTATATGCATAATATTGTAATATATTTGATAATATATATATATATAAATATATATATATATAACTACTATTTATATTGTATTAATTCCTCTTATCAGACCTGGCGAGTGGTACGGCAGGTCTAATCATATTTATGGCATTGAATTTAATAGGAAACACACAATACGGTATCAGACAGTCGGCCGAAATGGAGAATCAGATGACATCAGTCGAGAGAATTGTTGAATACTCTAAACTAGAATCGGAAGGACTGATCGATAGTGAGATACCACCGCCTGATGAGTGGCCCGACAAGGGATGCATTGAATTCAGACACGTGTACTTGACTTATGAAAATTCACCGAAACCTACACTCCATGATCTAAATTGTCGGATCAATGGCGGCGAGAAAGTTGGAATAGTTGGCCGAACCGGTGCTGGAAAGTCATCCATATTGTCGGCACTGTTCCGTATGCACAATATCGACGGCAATATCATTATTGATGGTATCGATCACAAGACTATAGGTCTACACGATTTGCGCAGACATATGTCAATCATACCGCAGGATCCCATTGCTTTCATCGGCAGTTTACGCAAGAATTTGGATCCATTTGATGAACATTCTGAAGATAGACTGTGGGAAGTACTCGAAGAGGTACAGCTCAAGGAGGCTGTTCAAGAAATGTCCGGTCAGTTGGAGTATCAACTGTCCGAAGGCGGCGGTAATCTGAGTGTTGGTCAGCGCCAACTCATATGTCTGGCCAGAGCTATACTCCGCCGAAATCGGATTCTTGTGTTAGACGAGGCAACAGCTAATGTCGACCACAAGACGGATGCACTGATTCAGCGGACAATTCGTGAAAACTTTGCCGACTGTACTGTACTAACAATTGCTCACCGATTGAATACAATCATAGACTCGGATCGGGTACTGGTTCTCTATTCCGGACGTATTATGGAGTTTGGCGTTCCCTACGAATTATTACAGAATAATTCGGGAATGCTTTACAAACTCGTTAAACAAACCGGTGTCCAAATGTCCAATCAATTGATACGATTGGCTAAACAATCGTATGATTATAAACAAAATAATGACAATTGATATTAAATTGCTTTATAATAAAATTTAATTATATAACTAATATATGATCTTTTGTTATCATTTTAAACATTTGCAAATATATTTATACAGAATTATTCAGTATATTAATTATTTATATCATTGATATTTTTATGTATAATTATATGTACAGTACAATTTATATCTAAAATTAAAACTGTAAAAAATACTAATTTAATAATTTAGTTATAAAAAAAATTTGTTATCAAGATAAAATATTATTATAATTATTTTAATACAATCATTATAATTATAATTATTATATACAAATAAATAAATCTAAAAACGATAATAGTAATAAAATATTTAGTATAATATTATTTTCAATTAAAATGATTTAATAAACAGTAATATACCGGTATTACTGTAGTTATATGATATACTGTATATATAAAAATTATTATTATATTAAATATTTTGAATACTAATATAAAACATTTATTTATATAAAATTGCTGTCTAATATTTGAATAATTAATGTTAAAATAATTTAAATAAATTTTTAAAAAATGACAACACATTTTTTAAACATAAAATATTATTATTATTATGTTTTCTATTTATTTATTGGGTGTCAAAAATAATATTTTAGTCATGAATAGTTTAAATTTGTAATTTTTTTGATAGTAATCTTTAAATATTATTTACTAGTTAGTATTTTACATTATTATTATTATCATTTATTTATTTATTTATAACAATGAATGATGAAATTATAATAACTAAGCCATCAAAATATGCACGTGTTAATATATTCAGCAAGGTCTATTGCACGTAAGTTTATATACAATATATTAATTATATATATATATATATATATATTTAGATATTATTTAAATAATTTTTCAATATTATTTATATTGCATAAACACATATAAATTATCTTAATTTTTGTCTATCGATATACTAATCAAACCGATACACATACTGTATGATCGGTAATGTGTATCTATTACTGTATAGATGGCTATACCCGATGTTCATACGTAGCCTCAAACGTGATGTCCAAATCCAGGATCTGTACAAATGTCCGCCGGAAGACATGTGCGAGACAGTGGTCGCCAAACTGGAAAAGTATTGAAAAATATAATAATATATTTTATTAATAAACAAAAAAATAAATTTATTTATTTATTATATGATATGTCCCTAGAAATTGGCGAAAAGAGTTAGCAAAACAATCGCCAAGTTTTATGTGGGCATCGATTAAGACATTTTCGGGATCCATAATAATACCGATTATATTAGTTATATTAGATGTAAGACTTAATACAATAATACTTTATCATAAAAAATTATTATTTATAAAAATAGCTATAATTATAATAATTAAAAATATTGTATTTATAGATTTAAATATATAATTAATTATATAATTAAACTGTATTCCTAAATTATATTTATATACACAATTATAATTAATAATAAATCAATAGCATTGTGTAATTTTCAACATTAATATGATATTGTTGGCCAAATTGCTGGCATTTTTTGCCGCACCCGACAAACACAACTATTTGCATACCTGTCTGTATGCCTGTGCTATGATTGTTACAATCATACTAAATGTATCGTTTGAACATCCAGCGTTGCTACTATCGGCCAAACTGGCCATGAATATCAGGGTCAGTTGGTGTACACTTATCTACAAAAAGGTATAATCAATAAGTTTTTTTTGTTATCTCAAAAATATATATATAATTAGTATATTATTATTATTATTATCAAAATTTAATTGTTAAAGGCATTACGTTTGAAGCACTCGGCGTTTTCAAAGACAACAATCGGACAGATATTAAATCTAATGTCCAACGATGTCAGCCGTTTGGAAGAAGTAATAATAATAATTATTATTTTTATTATTATTTTACTTATATTATTAATATTTATAATAATATGAATCCAAATCAGTTTTGTCAACACTTTGCTTATCTGATTGCCGGTCCGATTAACATTGCCATAGGTGTGGCCATATGCTGGCAATACATCGGTTGGGTGTCATTCATAGGACTGGCAATACTTATGTGTTTTATACCATTCAATGGTCTAATGGGCCGATTGTTTCTCAAGATTAGGTCAGTTTTTTTAAAAAATTAAAAAAAAATATTGTCCCAAATTGTATTGCTTTTTCGAAAAATAATTAGGAGAAAAGTGGCCGCACTTACCGATAACCGGATCCGTTTGATGAACGATATAATAACTGGTATGAGTGTTATCAAAATGTATGCCTGGGAACGACATTTTAGCAAACTTATAGCCGATGCCCGCAAGTATGACTGTATAAATTGTATTTAAAAAAATATATAAATTTAATTAATTAGTTATTTTTATTGAAGGAAAGAGATGAGACAAATACAAAAGTCAACACTTCTTAAAGTACTAAACAAATCCATATCCGATATTAGCGGTCGGGTTATGATATTTGTTATATTAATAGTACATATAGTATTGGGCGGTAGACTGACCGCCGAAACAGTGTTTATCTCAATGTATGTCTACCAGGGATTACAGTATACAATGACATCTGCCTTTCCGCAAGTGGCGGCACTGACTGCCGAACTGTATGTCTCAGCTAAACGTATTCAGGTTAGGACTGATTAAAAGAAAATTAGTATTTAAATCAATTATATGTTTGTTTAGACATATCTACTATTAGATGAAATCGAAGAACTAAACCAATTCAATGATGAAAATGGTATACAAAACAATGGTAATAGTGGTGGTGGTAATGGTGGCGAAAACGTACCGCTTTTAGGGCATAATAAACAGCACCGGGATGTCAATGATGATGACACTAACAATACTAATAAAACTATTATTGTCGATAATTTGTGCGCCACTTGGGATACAGTAAATTAGAAATTATAAACTAGTTGTACACTAATATTAACATTACAGTAATGGGTTCAATACAGGAGCTTAAATGGCAAACAATTAAAGACATAACTGTTTCGTTAGGATCGGGCGAGTTGTTAGCTGTTATCGGACCGGTTGGTAGTGGAAAGGTCTGGAAAAATAAATAATTTTAATATGTGAATTTAAATATATTTTTTGTTTACTTATAATTACTATGTATTATAATAAACCTATTCTAGAGTTCATTTCTAATGTCACTATTAAATGAGATTCAAGTAACCAGTGGTCGGGTATCCGTAAAGGGATCGGTAGCCTATGCCTTACAGGAAAGTTGGATATTTAACTCAACAGTTCAGCAAAACATAACGTTTGGAAAGTCGTATGAAATAAAGCGATTCAAAGAAGTCATATCAGTCTGTGCTATGAATCGCGACTTAAAGATGTTTCCGTTCGGCGAGCGATCTCTGGTCGGCGAAAGAGGTGTTACACTCAGTGGCGGACAAAAAGCTCGGATAACATTAGCCCGGTTTGCAGTTTAATAATAATAATTATTAAATATAAAATAGCAGTATTTAAACTCTATCTATCATTTAAATACCAGTGCTCTGTATAATAACGCCGATATCTATCTATTGGACGATCCGTTAAGTGCTGTCGACAGTGAAGTTGCGAATCATATATTTGAAAAGTATATCTTATATAGTTTATTATAATTAATATATTTATATTTATTAAATTATATATATTTTTTGTTAATTAGATGTATCACTGAATATCTGAAATCAAAATCAGTGATTCTCGTCACACATCAGATACAGTTCATCAAAAAGGCCCACAAAATACTGGTCCTACGCGAGGGTCGGCCACTGGCTGTCGGTTCCTATACAGAGCTTATGGAAGCGGGCATTGATTTTATGTCACTGATTAAAACGGAAGAAAAATCGGATAATAATGTAATAAACAAACAACAGATGAATGATGTCATCATTAGTGACAATGTCTTTAGACAACGAGCCATAAGTCGTATATCTTCACAGTCGGGACACGAAGTAATTAATTTTATTTGTTATTTAATTTTATAGTAAATTACTTTTTTTATGTAAACTATAGGCTAACTCTGGTGGTGATAGTGACGAGAAATTAGCGGACGAACTAAAAGCTAGCGGATCGGTTGACGCCCGGATCTATTGGGAGTACATCCGATCGGGTGCCGGATCTCTACTACTGGTTATTGGCCTAATATCAACATTACTAGCGCAAGGTCTAGAAAACTATAGCGATATCTGGCTGTCCGAATGGATTAATCGGGACACCAATTATAATAGTAATGTCACCGATAATAGTGATAACAGTGATAAAAAAGTGGATGAATCAGAAAACATTAAAATTTATTCAATACTTTTGGTGACTATTTTTCTATCATTAATACTACGGTCGACCACTTGGTTTGTAATGTGTATCAAAGCGTCAATCAATTTACACAACAGAATATTCTATCGATTAATGAGAACCAGAATCACGTTTTTCGACACAAATCCTGTCGGTAATTGAATTTCTGAATATTTTATTTAATTTGATACAGAATTTTGATAACAAATATATTGATTAAAAAAACTTATTTAACTGAATAAAAATAATTTTTTAGGTCGTATTTTGAACCGATTTACCAAAGATATGGGTACTGTCGATGAAAAGTTACCGTTTGTTTCATATGAAGTCAATAAAGTAATCAAAAAAAAATTATTAAACTGATTATTATTATTAAATTATTTTATTCATTTAATTTCTTAATTAATTAATTAAACCATTATTTTTTTATAAACAGTATATAGTGCTTACGTTAGGATTGTTAACAGTGGTTGCAATTTCCAACTATTATCTAATTATTCCGGCCATCGGTCTATTGGCCGCTATATTAGCTATGCGTTGGATTTATTTGAAAACCAGTCGCGATTTACAGCGTTTCGAGGGAATCGGTATTTTTTTATTAATATATAATAATAATATTTTAATTAATTATTGTAATTATTACAATTTTCATCTAATATAAATAGCCCGGAGCCCACTGTACAATCATATGACTACTACACTGAGCGGACTGATCACTATCCGTGCCTATCGTGCGGAACAAATGTTTCGGGAACAGTACTATCGCTACCAGAATGATCACACGTCTACTTATTTCATGCAATTTACCGCATCCCGGTGCTCAGGTTAGACTGAGCTAGGTTAATTAATTGTTATTAAACTAATTTGTCATAAATATAACTAATAGCCATAACAATGGATTTTATTTGTGTCGCTTATATCGTATGTGTGATATGTTTCTCATTGATTTCATATAAAGGTTTTTATATTTAAAAAATATAATAGTAATACTAATACTTATTCTACTAATACTAATGACTTTAATTAACTCCTCTCAGACCTAGCGAGTGGAACGGTAGGTCTAATCATATTTATGGCATTGAGTTTGATTGGAAGCACACAATATGGTATCAGACTGTCGGCCGAAATGGAGAATCAGATGACATCAGTCGAGAGAATTGTTGAATACTCTAAACTAGAATCCGAAGGACTGATCGACAGTGAGATACCACCGCCTGATGAGTGGCCCGACAAGGGATGCATTGAACTCAAACACGTGTACTTGACTTATGATAATTTACCAAAACCTACACTTCATGATCTAAATTGTTTGATCAATGGGGGCGAGAAAGTCGGTATAGTTGGCCGAACCGGTGCCGGAAAGTCGTCCATATTGTCGGCATTGTTTCGTATGCATGATATTGATGGTAATATCATTATCGATGGCATCGATCACAAGACTATAGGTCTACACGATTTGCGTAGACATATGTCAATCATACCTCAGAATCCCATGGCTTTCATCGGCAGTTTGCGCAAGAATTTGGATCCATTCGATGAACATTCTGAAGATAGACTGTGGGAAGTACTCGAAGAAGTACAGCTCAAGGAGGCTGTTATGGAAATGTCCGGTCAGTTGGAGTATCAACTGTCCGAAAGCGGCGGTAATCTGAGTGTAGGTCAGCGCCAACTCATATGTCTGGCCAGAGCTATACTTCGCCGAAATCGGATTCTTGTGTTAGACGAGGCAACAGCTAATGTCGACCACAAAACAGATGCATTGATTCAGCGGACAATTCGTGAAAACTTTGCCGACTGTACTGTACTAACAATTGCTCACCGATTGAATACAATCATAGACTCGGATCGGGTACTGGTTCTCGATTCCGGACGTATTATGGAGTTTGGCGTTCCCTACGAATTATTACAGAATAATTCGGGAATGCTTTACAAACTCGTTAAACAAACCGGTGTCCAAATGGCCGATCAATTGATACGATTGGCTAAACAATCGTATGATTATAAACAAAATAATAAAACATAATAAATCATATAAAATAATTATTTGAAAAATACTAATCACATAAAGTTTATTTCATTCAATTGTTAGTTAAAATTATTACCCAACAAGTAGTACAAATCAATTATAATTATTTTTTGTTTGTTTAAAATCTTTGTTGTTTTTGTGTCTTTCAACGTTTGTTTTATTATAAACTAAATGTGAAAATTAAATATATTTATAGTTATAACTTAATAATTAGTTTTGTAATTATAACTAAAGTACAACTGCTGTATCTAATAGTAAATAATAAAAAACAATATACAGGTATATATATATATATATATATATTAGTATACCTGTATTATAAATGATTTATTACTAGATTTTAATGTACTTGACTAACTATATAATATAATTAATATAAATATAATTTTTATTCAATTATGTATTTTTATGCACTTTAGTTTTATTTATTAATAAAAGTTTGTTTTATTTAAAAAAAAAATAATTATGAATTGCCTTGTGTAATATTTTAATTAAATAATATAACAAAAAATATATATAATTCAAAATTAATTTTTATTATTATTATAGTATAGTCTCTATTTTTATTTATGGCAATAAAAAATAGTATAAAACATCAAAATATACCACTCATATTTTTTTATTATAAATATATACTATATATAATTTTTTAACAATCAGTATATTATTTAATAGTATATAAAAATATTTAAATACATTTTATAATTAACCAGTTTATAATTATAAATAGTTTTAATAGATCATCAAATTGATATATTTAGTTAACTATAAGATATAATCAAATTATATTATATATTTTTACTTAAATTTAATTCAATGTAAAAATGTTGGTTAAATTAAAATAATTAAACTAATAATAAAATATATTGCTATTTTTTATTATTAATGATGATATAAGTAGAATTAAAAATTAAATAAAATGCTAACAAATAATCTTTTTTTTAAATATATGAAATATACTGTTATATTAAATATTAAATAAAGTAATAAAAACGATAATAATAATAATAAATTTATTATAATGCTATCTTTAAAAAAAAAATAATTTAATACACAGTAGTTATTAATATATTTAGTAATTAATGGAAAATAAAAACTTAACTAAATTTGAAGTTTATTATTATTATTATGATTTTTATATATAAAGATATATTGAGTGTTGATAATGTAATTTTTGTTATCGATAGTAAAAAATAAAATAAAATTATATAGTATTTATTTATTTTGTTAAATAATTATTAAATTAAATGTATTTTACATTATTATTATTATTTATACAATGAATGATGAAATTAAAATAACTAAGCCATCAAAATATGCACGTGCCAATATATTGAGCAAGGCCTATTGCACGTTAGTATTTATATACTGTATATTAATTATATAATTAATATTAAATATTACTAATTACTAAAAATATATATATAACTTTATATATTCTGTATATACTGTATATAAATTTAAACCTCTCTCTCTCTCTCTCTCTCTCTCTCTCTCTCTCTCTCTCTCTCTCTCTCTCTCTCTCTCTCTCTCTCTCTCTCTCTCTCTCTCTCTCTTAATATCATGCTAATCAAAACAATACATGTGTATATAATAATAATATTTTAAATTTATATCATATATTTATATTGAATATAATCGGGGCTTGTATTTACTGTACTGTATGAAACCTATAGATGGCTATACCCGATGTTCATACGTAGCCTCAAACGCGATGTCCAGATCCAGAATCTGTACAGATGTCCGCCGGAGGACATGTGCGAGACAGTGGTCGCCAAACTGGAAAAGTATTTTAATAGTTATTTTTCTAATTATAAACAAAAATTAATTAATTAATTTATTTATTTATTACATTACATTATATGTCCGTAGAAATTGGCGAAAAGAGTTAGTAAAACAATCGCCAAGTTTTATGTGGGCATCGATTAAGACATTTTCGGGATCCATAATATTGCCGATTATATTAATTATATTATATGTAAGGCTTGAAATATAATACTATAATATATTTTATATATATATAAAAAAAATTATTATTTATATTTTCTTAAAATCAATTTTAATTATATAATTAGAATTAATTAGAATTTTTATTCACTTATAATAATAATAATAATAATAATAATAAATAATTTTCATAGGATTGTGTAATTTATAACTTGAATATGATATTATTGGGAAAATTGCTAGAATTTTTTGCCGCACCCGACAAACACAACTATTTGCATACCTGTCTGTATGCCTGTGCCCTTGTTGTTACAACCATACTAAATATATCGTTTGGCCATCCATCAATGCTACTATCGTCCAAACTAGCCATGAATATCAGGGTCAGCTGGTGTACACTTATGTATAAAAAGGTTTAAAATCAATTGTTTTATATGTTTAATTACATCAAAAATCTATATATATATATATATATATATATAAATAAATTTATAACATTATTATTATTAAAATTAAAATGTTTGTTAAAGGCATTACTTTTGAAACACTCGGCGTTTTCAAAGACAACAATCGGACAGATATTGAATCTAATGTCCAACGATGTCAGCCGTTTGGAAGAAGTAATAATAATAATAATTTTATTTATATTTCATTTAAAACAATGAGATTATCTAATAATAATAATATGAATCCAAATCAGTTTTGTCAGCACTTTGCTTATCTAATTGCCGGTCCGATTAATCTTGCCATAGGTGTGGCCATATGCTGGCAATACATCAGTTGGGTGTCATTCATAGGACTGGCAATACTTATATGTTTTATACCATTCAATGGTCTAATGGGCCGATTGTTTCTCAAGATTAGGTCAGTGCTGTAGTAAAGGATTATTGTAAATTGAATTATTGGAAAAAAAACTATTGTCACAAATTGTATGACAAAATTATTTATAGGAGAAAAGTGGCCGCACTTTCCGATAACCGAATCCGTTTGATGAACGATATAATAACTGGTATGAGTGTTATCAAAATGTATGCCTGGGAACGACACTTTAGCCAACTTATAGCCGATGCCCGCAGGTATGACTGTATTTAAAAAATACATATTGTATTAAAAGTATACATTTTTTTGAAGGAAAGAGATGAGACAAATACAAAAGTCGACACTTCTTAAAGCGCTAAACAAATCCATATCCGATATCAGCGGTCGGTTTATCATATTTATCATATTAATAGTCCATATACTGTTAGGCGGTAAACTAACCGCCGAAACAGTGTTTATCTCAATGTATGTCTACCAGGGATTACAGTTTACAATGACCTATGCCTTTCCTCTAGTGGTGGCACTGGTCGCCGAAGTGTATGTCTCAGCTAAACGTATTCAGGTATTGATTGACTGACTAACTAAATGAAAATAAGTGTTCATAAATCATATGTCTGTTTAGACATATCTACTATTAGAGGAAATTGGAGAACAAAATGAATTCATAAATGAAATGAGTTTCGAAAATAACGGCAACAACAATGAAAATGTTACTCTTTTAGCACATAATAATAATAATAAACAACAGCACCGGGAGGTCGACCACAATAAAGAAACTAATAGTACTATTATTGTCGCTAATTTGTGTGCCACTTGGGATACAGTAAATTATAATTTATATATATGATAAGTTAGTTGTTCAATGTTTTTTAATATTAATATAAACATTTTCATACTGTTACATACAGGAGCTTAATTTGCAGACAATTAAAGACATAACTGTTTCGTTAGCATCGGGTGAGTTGTTAGCTGTTATCGGACCGGTTGGTAGTGGAAAGGTATGAAAAAATGAATTTTTAAAGTTATAATTTGTTATTACTATATATTATAATAATCCTATTTTAGAGTTCATTTCTAATGTCACTGTTGAATGAGATACAAATAACCAGTGGTCGGGTAGAGGTTAAGGGATCGGTAGCCTATGCCTCACAGGAAAGTTGGATATTTAACTCAACAGTTCAACAAAACATAACGTTTGGAAAGCCGTATGAAATAAATCGATTCAAAGAAGTCATATCAGTCTGTGCTATGAATCGCGACTTAAAGATGTTTCCGTTCGGCGAGCGATCTCTGGTCGGGGAAAGAGGTGTTACACTCAGTGGCGGACAAAAAGCTCGGATAACATTAGCCCGGTTTGCAATTTAATAACAATAATAATTATTATTATTTATATCTAAAATTATTATAATATTAAAATAATCCGTACTTACTGTACATACCAGTGCTCTGTATACTAACGCCGATATCTATCTATTGGACGATCCGTTAAGTGCTGTCGACACTGAAGTTGCAAATCATATCTTCGAAAAGTATATTACTATTAATTAATTAAAAACATTTATTAAATTATATATTTTTTATTAATTAGATGTATCACTGAATATTTGAAATCAAAATCAGTGATTCTCGTCACACATCAGATACAGTTCATCAAAAAGGCCCACAAAATACTGGTCCTACGCGAGGGTCGGCCACTGGCTGTCGGTTCCTATACAGAGCTTATGGAAGCGGGCATTGATTTTATGTCACTAATTAAAGAGGAAGAAAAACCTATAGTTAATAGTGATAATAAACAAGTCATTAGTAGCGATGACATTAGACAACGAGCCATAAGTCGTATATCTTCACAGTCGGGACAAGTAGTTATCATTTAATTAGATATTTGATTATTTTATTGTAATTTATGTTACTATTAAAATATAGGTTAACTTTGATGGTGATAGTGACGAGAAAATAGATGACGAACTGAAAGCTCGCGGATCAATCGAAACCCGTATCTATTGGGAGTATATCCGATCGGGTGCCGGACCTGTACTACTGATTATTGGCATAATAATGATACTACTATCGCAAGGTTTGGAAAACTATACTGATATCTGGCTGTCCGAATGGGTCAATCGCGACACCAATAATATCTCGGATAATACCAGTAATAGTGATGACAACAAATTGGATGAAACAGAAAACATTAAGATATATTCAATACTTTTGGTGACTATATTTGTATCATTAATACTACGGTCGACCACTTGGTTTGTAATGTGTATCAAAGCGTCAATCAATTTACACAACAGAATATTCTATCGATTAATGAGAACCAGAATCACGTTTTTCGACACAAATCCTGTCGGTAATTGAATTGAATTATTTTTCGGGATATTTTCATATTCAAAGAAAATCTAAACTAAAAGTTATATTAATCTTACTCTCAACCCCTCCCCACCCCATCAAATAAATTTATTTATTAAAGCAAATCTATTTATGAATGAATGAAATAAAATAATTAATTAATTTTTTAGGACGCATTTTAAACCGATTTACCAAAGATATGGGAACTGTCGATGAAAAGTTGCCGTTTGTATCCTATGAAGTCAATCGAGTAATTGTTTTTTATTATTAAATATTTTTTAAAACTATTTATTTATTATACTTTACTATTTTATACATAATTATTATTATTAATTTTTATTTATACAGTATATAATGATTACGTTAGGATCGATAACAGTGGTTGCAATTGTCAACTATTATCTAATTATTCCGGCCATCGGTCTATTGGCCGCTGTATTAGCTATTCGTTGGATTTATTTGAAAACGAGTCGCGATTTACAGCGTTTCGAAGGAATCGGTATTTTATTTACAGATAATAATAATATATAAATGAATTTAAATGAATAATATTGTAAAGTCATAATATAAATAGCCCGGAGTCCACTGTACAATCATATGACAACCACACTGAGCGGACTGACCACTATTCGTGCCTATCGTGCGGAACACTTATTTCGTGAACAGTACTATCGCTACCATAATGACCATTCGTCTACCTATTTCATGCAATTAGCCGCCACCCGGTGCTTAGGTTAGATTGTTAATTAATTGTTAATTAATTAAGTAATTAAGCCATAAAATAGGTATAACAATGGATTTTATTTGTGTCGCTTATATCGCATTTGTGATGTGTTTCTCAATGATTTCATATAAAGGTTTTTATATACAGAATATTGTATTATTATTAGTATTAATAATGTAATAATATATAATTATCTTTAGACTTATCGAGTGGAACGGCTGGTCTGATCATAACAATAGCATTGAATTTGATAGGAGGCACCCAAACGGGTATCAGACAGTCGGCTGAAATGGAGAATCAGATGACATCAGTCGAGAGAATTGTTGAATACTCTAAATTGGAATCCGAAGGACTGATCGATAGTGAGATACCACCGCCTGATGAGTGGCCCGACAAGGGATCCATTGAACTCAGACACGTGTACTTGACTTATGATAATTCACCGAAACCTATACTCCATGATCTCAATTGTGTGATCACTGGAGGAGAGAAAGTAGGTATAATTGGTCGAACCGGTGCCGGAAAGTCGTCCATATTGTCAGCAATGTTCCGTATGCATGATATCGATGGCAATATTATTATTGATGGCATCGATCACAAGACTATAGGTCTACACGATTTGCGTAGACATATGTCAATCATACCTCAGAATCCCATTGCTTTCATCGGCAGTTTGCGAAAGAATTTGGATCCATTTGATGAACATTCTGAAGATAGACTGTGGGAAGTACTCGAAGAAGTACAGCTCAAGGAGGCTGTTATGGAAATGTCCGGTCAGTTGGAGTATCAACTGTCCGAAGGCGGCGGTAATTTGAGTGTAGGTCAGCGCCAACTTATATGTCTGGCCAGAGCTATACTTCGCCGAAATCGGATTCTTGTGTTAGACGAGGCAACAGCTAATGTCGACCACAAAACAGATGCACTGATTCAGCGGACAATTCGTGAAAACTTTGCCGACTGTACTGTACTAACAATTGCTCACCGATTGAATACAATCATAGACTCGGATCGGGTACTGGTTCTCGATTCCGGACATATTATGGAGTTTGGCGTTCCCTACGAATTATTACAGAATAATTCGGGAGTGTTTTACAAACTCGTTAAGCAAACCGGTGTCCAAATGGCCGATCAATTGATACAATTGGCTAAACAATCGTATGATTATAAACAAACTAATGACAATTGATGTTAAATTACTTTATAATTTATTATATATAACTAATATTTAATTTAACTTATATATAATTATTTGTATTGTCATTTTAAACTTTTAAAAACATATTTATACAGAATTATATATATACAGTATATATATATATATTATTCATATCATTAATATATCAGAAACAATGTTGTTTATAATAATAATAATTTAATTAATTATAAAATTCTAAATAAATATTTTTATAAAAAAATATGAAAATTTGTTATATATTTTAAAAAATAAACTATACTATTGAATATAAATTACTATAAAATACGATAATTAAATATTATTATCGTATTATATAATTTATTAGTCTGTTTGAATGAAACACATTAATCACATTTGAAAATTCAATGTTAACTCAGATTTTTTTTAAAAATATAAATAGTTTTGTGAGTGTTTTATGACATTCATGAATAAGTGAAGGATTTTTTTTTGTAATGTAAAACAAGTTTTTTTAGTGTTATTTTATATGAGTTTAAAAGTATTTCCCAAACATGTGATAATCACATTGTGATCATTAAAAAATGTTTGAAAATTTTATTTAACATATGTTAATTAGTTTTAATGATTAATTTACTAAATATTAACATTATTACAATTGTATATTAGTTCAAAAAAATGTATTTTTATCGTAAATGATTTATATAAGATTGTCATCTAATAATCACCTAATAATAATAAAGCATATTATGATAAAATAAAATAATTTATATTATTGTAAACTTTAGGAATACACTGAAAAAAATATTATAATTTTAATTATTATTTTTTGGTTATGAGTCCTTGAAATTTTCTAAATAATTATTTTTTTAAATTACAATACAATATATAATAATATTTTATGGGTATATAATAATGCATTGTATAATTTATATATTTATTTTGTACAATAAAAGTCATTATACTTTATTGTTATAATTATTATATTAACAAAATAATATGTGATTATAAATGTAAAAATTTTAGTGTCATCAGAAAAAATACAAATAAAAATAATATTAAAATTTATAACATTATATCATTTAATTGTATATATACAGTAAATTTATATAACATGTTAAATGTTAGAAAATAATTATATATATATAAAATCACAAAAAATGTCTAGTTTATTACATTAATTAATTGTTACAATTATTGTTACCATACAGTAGTATATCCCCAGTAAATGATAATTATTTTTGTTTTGTATTTCAACTTAAGTTTCATTACAATTTGTAATTTACAAACTAAATGTGAAAAACAAAAGTCAATCATTTTCGTTAATGTATCGTAATATAAAACTACGATAAACTACTGTATATAATAGTTTTTAAAAAAGCAGTATACAGGTATATATATATATATATATATTTATTATTATTATATTAGTACCTGTATTATCAATTGTTTTACTACTGTACTGATATATGTTTTAATGTACTTAACTATCATTATATAGATATATATAAATTTATATACAGAATAAGTGGTATATAAATAGCTAGAATTATTTTTTTTATTAGATTAGTTTCAATTAAAGTTCAAATATGTATCATATAATTAATTAATTTTTTAAATATTGTATATAAGTTTTTATTTGTTTGTTTAACATTAATATTATTTTACAGTTAATAACATGAATGATGAAACATTAATTAATAAGCCATCGAAATATTCAAGTGTAAACATATTCAGCAAGGTTCATTGCACGTGAGTGTACCTTTTTTATAAAAATAAAACGGTGCACCCAACTAATACCTGTCCTGCACCGGTGTTTAAAAAAAATAAATACACAATTTTCTATACTGTATATGATATCTAACACTTGTATGGCACCCGTAGATGGCTATACCCGATGTTCATACGTGGTCTCAAACGTGATGTCCAGCTCAATGATCTGTACAAATGTACTCAGGAGGACATGTGCGAAAAGTTGGTCATCAAATTGGAAAAGTATTATATTGTCCACTTAATTAAATTAATAAAATTTAATTATTATCAATTGTTATTATTATTATTATGTGATTGATTGAAAAAAAATAATTATAATTTAAATCCTATTTTAATTGAAATCTTCGCAGAAATTGGCGAAAAGAGTTGTCAAAAAAGTCGCCCAGTTTTGCCAGAGCTAGCATTAAAACATTTATTGCAAACATAATATTGCCGTCTATTTTGACATTAATTGCCGTAAGTTTGAAAGAGAGAGAGAGAGAGAGAGAGAGAGAGAGAGAGAGAGAGAGAGAGAGAGAGAGAGAGAGAGAGAGAGAGAGAGAGAGAGAGATAAATAAAGAGAGAGAGAGATAAATAGATAGATAGAGAGAGAGAGAGAGAGAGAGAGAGAGAGAGAGAGATAAATAGTTAAATCAATAATTAAATGCCTAAAAACTATAGTTTAATATTAATGTTTTTTTTATTTTGAATTTACCAATTTGTTAATTTGGTAATTTAATTTTAGTAGGAGTGTGCAATGCTCAACTTAACCATAATATTTATGGGCCAAATACTACAATTTTTTGCCAATCCCCATACATATGACTATTGGCATACCTGTATGTATGCAGCGGCTATGGTCGGTGCCGAACTACTATGTATATCGTTTATAAATCCGGCACTGTTTTTGGCCGCACGGGTAGCCATCAAAATACGTGTCTGTTGGTTGACAATAATATACAAAAAGGTCAGTCAGATTAGTTAGTTGGCAGCCCCTACACCCCTACCCCTAACTGGGTAAATGTATTTTAAAAATAAGTGATTTGAAAAATATACGGATATTGTATATCTTATAACAATAATAATACAATAATAATAATAATAATAAACAGGCGTTACGTTTGAAGCACTCGGCGTTTTCTAAGACAACAATCGGACAGATAATGAATCTCATGTCCAACGATGTCAGCAGTTTGGATGAGGTATTCATATTTGGATGAATGGGTTTAGTACTAGTAGTAGTAGTAGTAGTAGTAATAAAAAATATATAACAATTTTTTTGCTGTTTGTTTGTTTCATCGGTAGTACTGTCAACTATGTTCATACATTATAGTCGGTCCCATCAATACAATAATAAGTGTATACATATGTTGGCAATACATCGGTTGGGTGTCATTGATAGGACTGGCAATACTCACGAGTTTTATACCATTCAATGGTCTAATGGGCCGATTGTTTATCAAGATTAGGTCAGTCCTGTGTGCTATAGAAACAAAAAAAATAATATTTACAAATTTTTTACTATTAGCACAAAAGTGGCCGCACTTACCGATACGCGCATCCAATTGATGAATGATATAATTAAAGGCATGAAAGTAATTAAAATGTATGCCTGGGAACGACACTTTGATAAACTGATATCCGATGCCCGCAAGTATATCTCCTTTAATAAAATAAAATATAATAATAAACAAAAAAAATATAATTAAATTTAATTAATTAATTAATAGGAAAGAGATGAAACAAATACAAAAGTCAATACTATTGAAGGCATTGAACGGCGCCATATCGATGATCAGTCCCCGGGTTATCATATTTGTTGTATTGATTACACACCTTGTATTGGGCGGTAAGTTGACCGCCGAAACCGTATTCGTAACGATGTCCGTATTCAATGGACTACAGTTTACAATGACCACTGCCTTTCCCCAGTCGGTCGCATTGGCCGCCGAGCTATATGTTTCGTGTAAACGCATTCAGGTTAGTAGGTTCGGTAGCCGATCGCCACAAATCGGGTGTCAAAAAAAATAATTAAAGTTTTTATTTATTTTTTCGTATTATATATATTTAGAAATACTTACTATTGGAAGAAATTGATCAAAAATCCATTGAAAATAATGATAACAGTGTCCAAAATGGCAACAACGAAAAGATCCCGCTTTTAACAGTAGATAAACAGCACCGGGAGATGAATGCTGATGACAATGGCTATACAATTGTTGTCGAAAATATGAGCGCCACTTGGGATACAGTAATTGATATATATTTTTAATAAATATATTTACTATATATGCTGTTAAAAAAATTAACTGTTTATACAATGTTTATACACACATAAAGAAGCTTAAAAGTCCGACTATTAGAGATATAACTGTTTCGTTAGCACCGGGAGAGTTGTTAGCTGTTATCGGAGCGATTGGTAGTGGAAAGGTATTATTGTTTTAAAATTTAATAAAAATATACTAAATGTTAACTTTAAAAAAAAACTTTTTTAGAGCTCATTTCTAATGTCATTGTTGAATGAGATTGAAGTAACCAGTGGTCGGATAGCGGTTAAGGGATCGGTAGCCTATGCCTCACAGGAAAGTTGGTCTTTTAACACAACAATTCAGCAAAACATAACGTTTGGAAAGCCGTATGAAATAAAGCGATTCAAAGAAGTCATATCAGTCTGTGCTATGAATCGTGACTTAAAGATGTTTCCGTTCGGCGAGCGATCTCTGGTCGGCGAAAGAGGTGTTACACTCAGTGGCGGACAAAAAGCTCGCATAACATTAGCCCGGTTTGCAATTAAATTAAATTATTATTTTTATTATAAAAATGACTATAAAGTTAAACAAATAATCCATACATACCAGTGCTCTGTATACTAACGCCGATATCTATCTATTAGACGATCCGTTAAGTGCTGTCGACACTGAAGTTGCAAATCATATCTTTGAAAAGTATATTACTATTAATTACATTAATTTAAAATATCTGTTAAAGTATTATAAAAATTATATAAATTTTTTTTGTTAATTAGATGTATCACTGAATATCTGAAATCAAAATCAGTGATTCTCGTCACACATCAGATACAGTTCATCAAAAAGGCCCATAAAATACTGGTCCTACGCGAGGGTCAGCCACTGGCTGTCGGTTCCTACGAACAGCTTATAGAGTCCGGTATCGACTTTATGTCGCTAATCAAAGAGGATAACAAACACAAAAACAGTAGTAGTAATGACATCAATAGTATTAAAGATCAAAATCAGTTGACAGACGAACAGCAGAATAGTGTCATCGCTGATGCGTTCAGAAATCGGTCCATAAGTGTATTGTCATCTGAATCGGTACATCAAGAGTTAATCATCAAAACTATCAGAAAAAGTTATATAATTTCCTTTTTTAGGCTAATTTTGGTGAAACTGATGAAAAGATTGCAGAAGAAAACAAAGCTCAGGGATCGATCAACTCCCGGGTCTACTGGGAGTACATCCGATCGGGTGCCGGACCCGTACTACTGATTGTTGGCATAACCTCGACACTACTATCGCAAGTATTGCAACACTACAGCGACTATTGGCTGTCCGAGTGGTCAAACAAAGAGGACGCCAGTATTGTGTCAAACAGTGATGACAACAAAGTGGATGAAAAAGAAAACATTAAGATCTATTCAATACTTTTGGTAACAATTTTTGTATCATTAATACTACGGTCGACCACTTGGTTTGTAATGTGTATCAAAGCGTCAATCAATTTACACAACAGAATATTCTATCGATTAATGAGAACCAGAATCACGTTTTTCGACACAAATCCCGTCGGTAATTGAATTGAATTTTGTTTTATTAAATATAATTATTTACGAAAATATATATAATTAATATTTAATTAATACTAATACTAAAAGTAATAATAATATTAATTAATTAATTATTTATTTGGTATTTTTTAGGCCGTATTCTGAATCGTTTTACCAAAGATGTCGGAACAGTTGATGAACAGTTGCCTAACTGTTCGTACGAATTGAATAGTGTATTAATAATTAAAATTATTTATTTTTTTTGTTAATTAAATTTTTAATTTAAATTCATTAATTAGTTAATAATATTATTTTTATTTATTTTTTTGGTATACCAGATATTTATGCATATATTCGGCTCAATAGTTATGACAATCATTGCAATTGCCAACTATTATCTAATTATTCCGGCCATCGGTTTATTGATCATTACTTTAATCATACGTTGGATTTATTTGAAAACCGGTCGCGATTTCAAACGTTTCGAAGGAATCGGTATTTAAATTATTATTATTAATAATAATTTCCGTTTATTTATCTATTAAATTAATTATTGAGTTATACTTCACACACACAAACAGCCCGGAGCCCAGTTTACAATCATATGACTACAACACTGAGCGGACTGACCACTATTCGTGCCTTTCGTGCGGAACAAATGTTTCGGGAACAGTACTATCGCTACCAGAATGACCACACATCGGCCGATTTTATGTGTATATCCGCGTCCCGGTGTTTAGGTAGGGTTTGCCCAAAAAAAATTGTCAATAATTTAATATAATTTTTTTGTTTTTTTGGGGGTTAATTAGGCGTAACAATGGACTGGTTATGTGCCGCTTATCTGGCGTGTGTTGAGATCTTTTTGATGGCATTTTACGAAAGTATGTGTAATGACTATTACATGGAGTAGTCTATAATAATGATATTTATATATATATTTTTCAAATATACAAAATTACTAGACCTTCCCAGTGGTAGTGCAGGTCTGGCCATATCTATGTCGTTGGGTTTAATGGGAATGACTCAATGGGTTACCAAAGAGTCGGCCGAAATGGAAAATCAGATGACATCAGTCGAGAGAATTGTTGAATACTCTAAACTGGAATCCGAAGGACTGATTGATAGCGAGATACCACCGCCTGATGAATGGCCCGAAAATGGATCCATTGAACTCAGACACGTGTATTTAACTTATGATAATTCTCTGAAACCTACACTTCATGATCTCAATTGTGTGATCACTGGAGGAGAGAAAGTGGGTATAATTGGCAGAACAGGTGCCGGAAAGTCATCCATATTATCGGCACTGTTCCGCATGCATGATATCGACGGCAATATTATTATTGATGGCATCGATCACAAGAGTATAGGTCTACACGATTTGCGTAGACATATGTCAATCATACCTCAGGATCCCATTGCTTTCATCGGCAGTTTGCGCAAGAATTTGGATCCATTTGATGAACATTCTGAAGATAGACTGTGGGAAGTACTCGAAGAAGTGCAACTCAAGGAGGCTGTTATTGAAATGTCCGGTCAGTTGGACTATCAACTGTCCGAAGGCGGCGGTAATCTGAGTGTAGGTCAGCGCCAACTCATATGTCTGGCCAGAGCTATACTCCGCCGAAATCGGATTCTCGTCTTAGACGAGGCAACAGCTAATGTCGACCACAAAACAGATGCACTGATTCAGCGAACAATTCGTGAAAACTTTGCCGACTGTACTGTACTAACAATTGCTCACCGATTGAATACAATCATAGACTCGGATCGGGTACTGGTTCTCGATTCCGGACGTATTATGGAGTTTGGCGTTCCCTACGAATTATTACAGAATAATTCGGGAATACTTTACAAACTCGTTAAACAAACCGGTGTCCAAATGGCCGATCAATTGATACAATTGGCTAAAGAATCGTATGATTATAAACATAACAATTATTCTGACAAATAATATTCATATAAAAAAAATATTTATTTAAAAAAATTAATAATGTGATTATTTGTTGTCATTTTAAATATTCATAATTATTTTATATATTTATACTGTATTATAAATTATTACATAATAGAAATAATTTTCTTAATTACTTTTATACTGTATATATAATACATTATTTGATAAAAATATAATTAAGAAAAAATAATAAAACTTATTTTTCCTATTATATAAAATTTTATAAAGTAGTATCAAATAAACAATATATTTCATAATTTGATTGCATAATACAAAATACTAGTCAACTCCACCCCCTACTCGGTATGTCATATGGTTGTACTACCGGTGCTGAGACACAACATTACATTTGCATTTGCGCTCACAACTGGGCTATTGATCTCAACAAACAAAATCATAACACATACATACAAAAACATAACCCATTCACTAGAAATGTTATATTTAAAAAATTACTGTATATTACTATTTATTGTGTAAAAATAATTTGTTTAAGTTTTAGTAATTGACAACACATTTATATAGTAAGTAATATTTTTTTTAATTATTATTATATTAATTTTAATTAAATTAAAATTATTAATATATATATATATACGATATATTCTGACTGTATATAAAATTTGTTAATTTTTTTTATAAAAAATACACCGTTGCTATACAAATAATTTAGATATAATTTATTATTATTAAATAATTTAAATAATAAAAATTAATTTTAATCACTTATAACTTACTAAATAACTAAAATTATAACTAGACTTATAAATCACTAAAAAACTGATACCCGAGATGTGTGCAAAAATTGTTTATACATATAATTTGTATTTTTTAATATTGAAATTTTTAAAAAAAATAAACAATAGTTATAAATGCTATTTGATATATCATACAAGTGTTTAATATTTTTCAATTATCATATACTGTATTTCAATATTAAAAAATACAAATAATATTTATATACAAACATATTTCCGCACACATCTCGGGTATCATTACCCCCACTCCATACCCGTCCTAACCTATCGTATTGCTTTGTAAAGCACTGTTATGTTGTCTCTCAATGACTATCATATAACTCCAGTGGATTAGTACTGATGATGGTGTGCTGGGGTTTAGGCCAACCAAACCAAATATCGATATTATAAAACAATTAACTAGTTTAGTGATTAATAAGTATTTATTTTCAATTTAAACTAAGTTTTATGACTTAATTGAAATTATTTATATTTATTAAATTTTATTGTAATTTATTTGTTGTGTGAATTATTATTATTTTTTAAATTAATGATTGACAACACATTTAGATAGTAAGTAATATTTTTATAATAATAATTATAAATATAAATAAATATTTCAGCTGTATATAAAATTTCTTATTCTGTATACATTATATATTTAATATATATTTTAAAAATACACTATTGCTATAAAACTAATTTAGATTTTTAGATTTAAATTATTATTATACAGTATATAATATACTATATATTATATATGTTTGAATTAAACACATTAACCACATCTGAAAATTTAATGTTAACTTAGATATTAAAAAAAAATTGTGAATAAGTGAAGGTTTTTTTTTGGTGTAATACGAAACAAGTTTTTAATTTTGTATTAAGATTGTAATAAAAATCATTATATTTATATATATATATACAAATATTTATATATAATATATGAGTCTAGAAAGTACAGTACTGCCCTTAAAACATGTGATAATCACATTGTAATTAATAAAACGTCTAAATAATATAGTGTTGGCAAAAAAGAGAAATTTATAAAATAATAGAGAAATTTCTAGAAAGTTTCTAAAAGAAATTTCTATCTTATGGGATCCCCATGGTTAATTTTGTTTTTATCGATATATGTTATTATGTAACAATACATTGTTTTTACAAGTAATAATTAAATATTAGTATTAATATTTTAATTTTTAATTAAAGAAACAATTAATTTATTAATTATCTTAAATTCTTATATATATATTAAAATGATTATTAAAATTTTACAAAACTGATTAAATAATTATAATTATTTTACATAACGGTGTTAACGTTATAGGTATCGTATTTTTATAGTAGTGTATAGTAGGTATAATTTTATATGAATAGTAGTATTGTCTCATTATTTATATATTATTAAAATAGCTATAGATATGGGGATCCCATAGTTAAATTTCTAGAAATTTTCTCAGAGAAATTTATTAGAAACTTTCTATTTGCCCATCTCTAAAATGTGTGTGTGTGTGTGTGTGTGTGTGTGTGTGTGTGTGTGTGTGTGTGTGTGTGTGTGTGTGTGTGTGTGTGTGTGTGTGTGTGTGTGTGTGTGTGTGTGTGTGTGTGTGTGTGTGTGTGTGTGTGTGTGTGTGTGTGTGTGTGTGTGTGTGTGTGGTAATAATAATAATAATTTTATTTAGCATAATAAAAAAGTTTAATTTAGTTTTTTTTCTTTGTAATTCAACAAAATATTTTTAAAATATAATAAAGTATATTGTTTCAAAAATCAATTGTGTAATAAACACACTGTATATAGTAATATGTAATTGTGCCCATAATCTTATATGATAATATATGATATTATCCTACAGTATTATTACTACTACTACTACTACTACTACTACTACTACTACTACTACTACTACTACTACTACTACTACTACTACTACTACTACTACTACTACTACTACTACTAMTAATAATAATAATAATAATAATAATAATAGTAAAACTAAATTATGATAAACTACTGTATCTAAATAGTAGTAAATTTATAAATATCTAACAATTTATTTTATAATTATATCTGTATTATCAATGATATACACATAAAAATTAAACTTAAAGTACTTAAAAATTATACAGTACTTTACACTATATATATAGTAAGTGGTATATAAATAGCTTTAATTATTTTATTGATATTTTTATAATTAATTAGTTAAAACAAAAATGATTTTCTAAAAAAATCAAATTTATTAATTAGTAATTTTGTTTGTTTGTTTAATATAAATACAGGCATACATACAGTAACCATGAATGAGGAAACCTTAATTAATAAGCCATCGAAATATTCACGCGTCAACTTGTTTAGCAAACTTCATTGCACGTGAGTATGCACCTCTAATAAATAAAAATAGTGCATCCAAAATACGTGCACGTGCTTTAAAAATAAATAAAATAAAAATGATTTTTATAAAAAATATATATATATGATATAACACTTGGTAATATATATATGACATAGATGGCTATACCCGATGTTCATACGTGGCCTCAAACGTGATGTCCAAATGCATGATCTGTACAGATGTCCTCAGGAGGACGTGTGCGAAAAGTTGGTCATCAAAATGGAAAAGTAATGACCACTTTTAGTTATTATTAATAGTTATTATCATTGCTTAGAGTTAAAAACAAAAAATATATAATTATTTGTAAATATTATTTTTGTTTGTTTGCAGAAATTGGCGAAAAGAGTTGTCAAAAAAGTCGCCCAGTTTTGCCAGAGCTAGCATTAAGACATTTATTGCATACTTTATAATACCGGTTATATTGACATTAATTGGCGTAAGTTTGCAAATAAAAGATAGAAATAAATAGAGAGAAAAAAAAAGAGAGAGAGAGAGAGAGAGAGAGAGAGAGAGAGAGAGAGAGAGAGAGAGAGAGAGATCATTAAATCATTAATTAGATTAATATAATTAACACAAAAATTAATTATTAAGTTTTTATTTTTATTTTCATTTAATTTGTTTGTTTGATTATTTAATTAATTTATAGGAGTGTGCAGTGATTAACTTAAACATAATATTTTTGGGCCAAATACTACAGTTTTTTGCCAATCCCGACAAATATGATTACTTTAGTACCTGTATGTATGCAGCGGCTATGGTCGGTGCCGAACTAGTATGTATATCGTGTATACATCCGGCATTGTTTATGGGCGCACGGGTGGCCATCAAAATACGTGTTTGTTGGTTGACGCTAATGTACAAAAAGGTCAGTCAGAAAAGGACCCATATCCAGTTCCCCTATTGCACCCCCCAACTAGGGAAATGTATTTTAATTAAATTATGGCTTAAAAAATAATTTTTCTATCTTATGAATAATGAATAATAAACAGGCGTTACGTTTGAAGCACTCGGCGTTTTCCAAGACAACAATCGGACAGATATTGAATCTCATGTCCAACGATGTCAGCCGTTTGGATGATGTATTCAATTCAATGAATGGTTTTTTTATAGCAAAATATATAATAATTTTTTGTTTTTGTTTGATTGATTGATTGTGTTGATGGACAGCACTGTCAACTAGTTTCATACCTTGTTTCCGGTCCAATCAATACAGCAATAAGTGTATACATATGCTGGCAATATATCGGTTGGGTATCATTGATAGGACTGGCTATACTCATGAGTTTTATACCATTCAATAGTCTAATGGGCCGATTGTTTCTCAAGATTAGGTTAGTGTTTGAAATAAAAAATATTGTTATAAACACTTTTAAGATGAATACTACCCAATAGTTTTGATTAAATTTGAAAAATTACTATTTTTTAGGAGAAAAGTGGCCTCACTTTCCGATACGCGCATCCGATTTATGAATGAAATAATTAAAGGCATGAAAGTAATCAAAATGTATGCCTGGGAACGACACTTTGATAAACTGATATCCGATGCCCGCAAGTATGTCTCCCTTAAGAAAATAATATACAATAATAAACAAAAAAATATAATTAAATTTAATTAATTAATAGGAAAGAGATGAAACAAATCCAAAAGTCAATACTATTGAAGGCACTGAACGGCTCCATATCGACGATCAGTCCCCGGGTTATCATATTTGTTGTATTGATTACACACCTTGTATTGGGCGGTAAGTTGACCGCCGAAACCGTATTCGTAACGATGTCTATATTCAATGAACTGAGATTTACGATGACGTTTGCATTTCCCCAATCGATTGCATTGACCGCCGAACTATATGTTTCGTGTAAACGCATTCAGGTTAGTAGGTTCGGGGACCTACAGCTGGACAACTGACTGTCCAAATAAAAAATTTTTTTAACAAATTGTTTAGAAATATTTACTATTGGAAGAAATCGATCAAAAATCCATTGAAAATAATGATAACAGTGTCCAAAATGGCAACAACGATGCAGGTGGTGGTGGCGGTGAAAAGGTTCCGCTTTTAACAAATGATAAACAGCACCGGGATGTCAACAATGAGGACAATGACAATACAATTGTCGTCGAAAATATGAGCGCCACTTGGGATACAGTAATATATATATATAATATCTACACAATTTGTAACTTAAATTTTATCTATAACTTCATAATCATACAGGAGCTTAAAAGCCCGACTATTACAGATATAACTGTTTCGTTAGCACCGGGAGAGTTATTAGCTGTTATCGGACCGGTTGGTAGTGGAAAGGTATTATTGTTTAAAGATTTAACAAAAAATATACTAAATATTAATTTTTAAAAACTATTTTTTAGAGTTCATTTTTAATGTCACTATTAAATGAGATTCAAGTAACCAGTGGTAGGGTATCCGTAAAGGGATCGGTAGCCTATGCCTCACAGGAAAGTTGGTCTTTTAACTCAACAGTTCAACAAAACATAACGTTTGGAAAGCCGTATGAAATAAAGCGATTCAAAGAAGTCATATCAGTCTGTGCTATGAATCGCGACTTAAAGATGTTTCCGTTCGGCGAGCGATCTCTGGTCGGAGAAAGAGGTGTTACACTCAGTGGCGGACAAAAAGCTCGGATAACATTAGCCCGGTTTGCAATTAAATACAATAATAATTATTATATGTTAAAATAATCCATACTTACTGTACTTACGGTACTTACGGTACATACCAGTGCTCTATATAATAACGCCGATATCTATCTATTGGACGATCCGTTAAGTGCTGTCGACACTGAAGTTGCGAATCATATATTTGAAAAGTATATAAAAATATTAAAAAATAAAAAAATATATACATTTAATATTTATTACTTTTCGTTTTTGTTAATTAGATGTATCACTGGATATTTGAAATCAAAATCAGTGATTCTCGTCACACATCAGATACAGTTCATCAAAAAAGCTACAAAAATACTGGTCGTAAGCGAGGGTCAGCCACTGGCTATCGGTTCCTACGAACAGCTTATGGAGTCCGGTATCGACTTTATGTCGCTAATCAAAGAGGATAACAAACACGAAAACAGTAGCAGTGGTGACAATATTAGTAAAGATCAAAATCAGTTGACAGACGAACAGCAGAACACTGTCATCGCTGATCAGTTCAGAAATCGGTCCATAAGTGTGTTGTCGTCACAATCGACTCAAGAGGTTAGGCACAGGAGATAATAATGAAAATTATGTAAAAAATTTGCTTTTTTAGACTGATTTGTGCGAAACTGATGAAAAGATTGCAGAAGAAAACAAAGCTCAGGGAACTGTCAGAGCTGGCGTTTACTGGGAGTACATCCGATCGGGTGCCGGTCCCGTACTACTGATTGTTGGCCTTTTATCGGCAATAGTGTCTCAAGTGTTGCAAAATTACAGCGACTATTGGCTGTCCGAGTGGTCAAACAAAGAGGACTCTAGTATTGCTTCAAAAAGTGACGACAACAAAGTGGATGAAACAGAAAACATTAAAATCTATTCAATACTTTTGGTAACAATTTTTGTATCACTAATACTACGGTCGACCACTTGGTTTGTAATGTGTATCAAAGCGTCAATCAATTTACACAACAGAATATTCTATCGACTAATGAGAACCAGAATCTCGTTTTTCGACAACAATCCCGTCGGTAATTGAAATATTTTTCTTTTATTAAATATATTTGTTTACGAAAAAATATATATAATTAGTATTTAATTAATACTAATACTAAAAGTAATAATAATACTAAATTAATTATTTGGGTATTTTTTTAGGCCGTATTCTGAATCGTTTTACCAAAGATGTCGGAACAGTTGATGAACAGTTGCCTAACGTTTCATACGATCTGAATATTGTATTTTGAATTTATTTTCTATATAAATCCCTAAATTAGTTTATAATATGGTATTTAATTTTGTTTGTTTGTTTGTATATCAGATATTTATACAGATTATTGGCTCAATAGTTACGACAATCATTGCAATTATAAACTATTATCTAATTATTCCGGGCATTGCTTTATTGCTCTTTACTTTTATCATACGTTGGATTTATTTAAAAACCGGTCGCGATTTTAAACGTTTCGAAGGAATCGGTATTATTTTTGTGATAATATATACTTATAAATTAAAGTAATTATTATACTTAATGGTTCCATAGCCCGGAGCCCACTATACAATCATATGACAACAACACTGAGCGGACTGACCACTATTCGTGCCTTTCGTGCGGAACAAATGTTTCGGGAACAGTACTATCGATACCAGAATGACCACACGTCAGCTTATTTTATGTGTATATCCGCGTCACGGTGTTTAAGTAGGCTTACCATTAGTAGTAGTAGTAGCAGTAGTACCTGTATTGTCATGACTCAATCATTTTGTTGTTGTTTTCGGTGAACAGGCATAACAATGGACTGGTTATGTGCCGCTTATCTGGCGTGTATTGAACTATTTTTGATGGCATTTTACAAGGGTATATATACGCTGTCAATTACATTGAGAGCAGACTATCATAAAATATTTATATATACTGTATATATTATTTCTTAGATCTTCCCAGTGGTAGTGCAGGTCTGGCCATATCTATGTCGTTGGGTTTAATGGGAATGACTCAGTGGGGTGTCAGACAATCGGCCGAAATGGAGAATCAGATGACATCAGTCGAGAGAATTGTTGAATACTCTAAACTAGAATCCGAAGGACAGATCGAGAGTGAGATACCACCGCCTGATGAGTGGCCAGAAAATGGATCCATTGAACTCAGACACGTATACTTGTCTTATGATAATTCACCGAAACCTACACTACATGATCTCAATTGTGTGATCAATGGTGCCGAAAAAGTCGGTATAGTTGGCAGAACCGGTGCCGGCAAGTCATCTATATTATCGGCACTGTTCCGTATGCAAGAAATTGAAGGCAATATTATTATTGATGGCATCGATCACAAGACTATAGGTCTACACGATTTGCGTAGACATATGTCAATCATACCTCAGGATCCCATTGCTTTCATCGGCAGTTTGCGAAAGAATTTGGATCCATTTGATGAACATTCTGAAGATAGACTGTGGGAAGTACTCGAAGAAGTTCAGCTCAAGGAGGCTGTTATGGAAATGTCCGGTCAGTTGGAGTATCAACTGTCCGAAGGCGGCGGTAATCTGAGTGTAGGTCAGCGCCAACTCATATGTCTGGCCAGAGCTATACTCCGCCGAAATCGGATTCTTGTGTTAGACGAGGCAACAGCTAATGTCGACCACAAGACGGATGCACTGATTCAGCGGACAATTCGTGAAAACTTTGCCGACTGTACTGTACTAACAATTGCTCACCGATTGAATACAATCATAGACTCGGATCGGGTACTGGTTCTCGATTCCGGACGTATTATGGAGTTTGGCGTTCCCTACGAATTATTACAGAATAATTCGGGAATACTTTACAAACTCGTTAAGCAAACCGGTGTCCAAATGGCCGATCAATTGATACGATTGGCTAAAGAATCGTACGATCGTACGAAACATATAATTGATTTACAATAATATAAGATAATCAATATTTCAATCAATCAGTTTATATGTGATAATTATTATTTTTTATTATCTAATTTTCTATCATATTATTATTATGTTATATTTTTAAAAATATACCTGTTCAATATTTTTTGTATATTTATATTTATTTATTTATACTGTATATAAATATTATTGTATATAAGAAATAATTTTCTTTATTACTTTTATATATAATAAATTACTTGATAATAATAAAAATATATTTTTTTTATAAAGTTTTATAAGAAAAAAATAAAATTAATATTTTTAGACGATTTTCAAATTAACAATATATTACATAATGTGATTGCATAATATAAAATACTAGTCAACTCCACCCACTATCGAGGTATGTCATATGGTTTTGTGAGTACCGGTGCTGAAACAGACCAGTGTTTAGTTTTTAAAAACACACATAACATTGCATTGCATTTGCGCTCACAACTGGGCTATTGATTTGTCTTTATATACTGTATATATATATATATTTATATTCTGTATATTTTATATACCGGTGTATATATATATATATAACTTTTTTGTGTATATTTTGTATGTCTGCTCTCAACAACCACAACACAACACAACAACAACCAAACCATAACACATACACCAAAACAAAACCCATTCACTGGAAATGTTATATTATTTTTAAAAATAATTATTAAATTAATTTGTTTAAGTTTTAGTGATTGACAACACATTTATATAGTAAGTAATATTTTATTACTATTATTATTTAATATTAATTTTTTTCTAATATAATAACAATAATTATTATTATGATTAAAATTATTAATATATATTCTGACTGTATATAAAATTTGTTACAAATAATCTAAAATATAATTTATTATTATTATTATTAATATTAAATAATTTCAGTCATAAAACTTGAATTTCAATCGTTTATAACACACTAAATCACATTAAAAAATTTTTTAACAATAATTGTTATAAATGCTATTTTTTAATATTTGATATATCATATAATTGTTTAATATTTTGATTTATTTAAAAAAATTTCAATATTAAAAAAATACAAATAATATTTATATACATAAAACATATTTCCGCACACATCTCGGGTATCATTACCCCCACTCCATAGCCAATCAAATATCGATATTATAAAACAATTCACTAGTTTAGTAATTATAAGTATTTATTTTCAATTTAGACTAAGTTTTATGACTTAATTGAAATTTTTATATTTATTAAAATTTACTATAATTTATTTGTTGTGTCAATTATAACATTTTTCTAAAAAATAAAAAATAGTTTTAATTGACAACACATTTAGATAGTAATAGTAATATTTTTAATAAAAACAGTAATAATTAAAATTATAAATAAATACTGTATTTCAACTGTATATAAAATTTGTTATATTATACTGTATATATATATATTTAAAAATACAATATTGCTATAAATTTCCAGAAAAATTTACACATAATTTAGATATAAATTATTATTAATATTATTATTATACTGTATTATATCTGAAAATTCAATGTTAACTTAGATTTTATTTTTTAAAAAAAAATTTGTGAGTATTTTATGACATTCAAGAATAATTGAAGGTTTTTTTGTGCTGTAATACGAAACAAGTTTTTTTAGTATTGTTGTTATTTTATATGAATATATAGTAACAAAAAAAATCTATATATAATATTATATATATATATATACTGTATATAAATTATAACCTGAGTCTAGAAAGTACAGTACTTCCCATTTTTTTAAACATGTGATAATCACATTGTAATCAAAATAAAAACGGTGTAAATTATAATAATTGCTAATTTCAATAATGATGATAATAATATTTTTATTGTTTAATTATTATAATTAGATATTACTGTATTTATATACAAACAAAATAAATTTACACATAAAACAAAAGTTTAATTTTCTCGTATTAATTAATCACAATATTAAGTATATTATTTTAAATCAATTGTGTGTATACTAGTAATATAATAAAGCTCCTAAAAATGTTATATGATATTATCCTATTGTTAATAACTATTACTATTATTAATAATAAAACTGAAAATTATGATAAACTAAAAATAAATAAATAAATATTTATACATTATATTCAATGTAAAACTTTTTTTTAGGGATATACTTAAATAATTATACTCAACAATAATAACAAATGAAAAATTGATTTATCATCTTTGGGTTATGACTTTTCTGAAAATTTCTAATAATTTTATTTTTTTTAAGTAACAATACAACAGTCGTAACTTAATATATAGTTTTTTTTTATTAAAAATACTGTATATTTATTATACCATTATATATACTGTAGTAATATCTATTGTTTTAAATAGAAATTATATTATCATACAATAAAAGTCATTATACTTATTATTATTATTATTATTACTAATAATAATAACAAAATAATGTGATGATAAATAGACAAAATTTTTAGTGTCATCAAAAATAATAATAATAATAATAATAATATTTTTATAACTTTATATCTAAATTATATCTAAATATTTTTCCTTTACATATATTGAACGTATTGTATATATATATATATATATATAACATGATAAATGATGATACAATTATAATTAAATAATAATAATAAAATTGACATGCTTAGTTTTTTATTGCATGCAATTAGCGCGTGTACTAATTAATTAATGATTATAAGTATATATATATATATATATATATATTGAATAAATATATAGTAATTATTATCGTATAGTATCTATAATTTTTTCAACACCAAAATTATTATTATTAGTAGTATTACAAACTAAATGTGAAAATTGAGAAAAAAAATAGTAATAATATAATGTAATAATAACTTTCGTTTATGTTTCGTATGCTGTAATACACAGACAAAAATAATATAACTACAGCGAAGCTGTATATAATAACTACTGTATCTAAATAGTAGTAAATATATAAAAAAAATATCTATACTTTTTATTATTATTATTATACCTGTATTATCAATGTTATACACATAAAAATTAAACTTAAAGTACTAAAAAACTTATTATACAGTATTACACTGTAGTATACAGTGGTGTATATAAATAGCTTGAATTATTTTATTGATATTTCTTTTTCTTTGAATTATATTTTTTTTTGTTTAGAAAAAATGTTGTTTTTTTATTTTATTAGTTAATTAATTTTGTTTTTGATTGTTTAATAAAAAAAATATATAGATATATAAATACAGTAACCATGAATGAGGAAACCTTAATTAATAAGCCATCGAAATATTCACGCGTCAACTTGTTTAGCAAACTTCATTGCACGTGAGTATGCACCTCTAACCATTAAAATAAATGGTGCATCCAAAATACGTGCACGTGCTTAAAAAAATTATTATTTATTTATTTTATATATAAATATGTGATATAACATTTGGCAATATATATATATATGACATAGATGGCTATACCCGATGTTCATACGTGGCCTCAAACGTGATGTCCAAATGCATGATCTGTACAGATGTCCTCAGGAGGACGTGTGCGAAAAGTTGGTCATCAAAATGGAAAAGTAATGACCATTTAGTTAATACAGTATTATTATTATTATTAAAATTAATAGTTATTATCATTAGAGATAAAACAAAAAATATAATGATTTTTTTCATTATTTAAAAATCTTATTAATTTTATTTTTGTTTGTTTGCAGAAATTGGCGAAAAGAGTTGACAAAAAAGTCGCCCAGTTTTGCCAGAGCTAGCATTAAAACATTTATTGCATACTTAATAATACCGTTTATATTGTCATTAATTGGGGTAAGTTTGAGAATAAACGATAGAAATAAATAAATAAATAAAGAGAGAGAGAGAGAGAGAGAGAGAGAGAGAGAGAGAGAGAGAGAGAGAGAGAGAGAAAATAATAACAACAAAAATAATTATATATTACTAAAAGTTTTTTTTCCGATCATATAATTTATAGGAGTGTATAATGATTAACTTAAACATAATATTTTTGGGTCAAATACTACAGTTTTTTGCCAATCCCGACAAATATGATTACTTGCATACCTGTCTGTATGCAGCGGCTATGGTCGGTGCCGAACTAGTATGCATATCGTGTATACATCCGGCAATGTTTATGGGCGCACGGGTGGCCATACAATTACGTGTTTGTTGGTTGACCCTAATGTACAAAAAGGTCAGTTAGGCTGCGTATAATGCTGTTTGATATCCCGTTGACCCTTTCCCCCAAAATTGGTCCCCAATTTTCAAATACTGATATTATAAATATTTTTAATTAAAAATAAACACAGGCTTTACGTTTGAAGCACTCGGCGTTTTCCAAGACAACAATCGGACAGATATTGAATCTCATGTCCAACGATGTCAGCCGTTTGGATGAGGTATTCATAATTGGATGAATGGGTTTAGACATAGTAGTATATAGTAGTAGTAGTAGTAGTAGTTGTATAATATATATATATATATATATATATAAATATTTTTTCTTTTATTTGATTTTGACAGTACTGTCAACTAGTCTCATACATTATTATCGGTCCAATTAATACAATAATAAGTGTCTACATATGCTGGCAATATATCGGTTGGGTGTCATTCATAGGACTGGCTATACTCATGTGTTTTATACCATTCAATAGTCTAATGGGCCGATTGTTTCTCAAGATTAGGTCAGTGCTGTGCTCTCAATCAATAATCAATAATAATAATAATAGTAACAATTTTTTTTATTAGGACAAAAGTGGCCGGACTTTCCGATACGCGCATCCGATTGATGAATGAAATAATTAAAGGCATGAAAGTTATTAAAATATATGCCTGGGAACGACACTTTGATAAACTGATATCCGATGCCCGCAAGTATGTCTCCCCTAATAAAATAATATACAATAATAAACAAACAAAAATATAATTAAATTTAATTAATTAATAGGAAAGAGATGAAACAAATACAAAAGTCAATACTATTGAAGGCACTGAACGGCGCCATATCGATGATCAGTCCCCGGGTTATCATATTTGTTGTATTGATTACACACCTTGTATTGGGTGGTAAGTTGACCGCCGAAACCGTATTCGTAACGATGTCTATATTCAATGAACTGAGGTTTACGATGACTTTTGCCTTTCCCCAATCGGTCGCATTGACCGCCGAACTCTATGTTTCGTGTAAACGCATTCAGGTTAGTAGATTCTGGAACGCCTACAGTATGATGACTGTCCACAACAACAAAAAAATAATTAGTATTTTGTTTTTATTTATTTAGAAATACTTATTATTGGAAGAAATCGACCAAAAATCCATTGAAAATAATGATAACAGTGTCCAAAATGGCAGCAAAGGTGCAGGAGATGGTGGTGAAAAGGTTCCGCTTTTAACCGATGATAAACATCACCGGGATGTAAACAATGATGACAATGGCAATACAATTGTCGTCGAAAATATGAGCGCCACTTGGGATACAGTAATATATAGATAAAATAATATGACTTTTGTATATAATATCTAACTTTTTTTTATATCTATAACTTAATCATACAGGAGCTTAAAAGCCCGACTATTAGAGATATAACTGTTTCGTTAGCACCGGGAGAGTTATTAGCTGTTATTGGACCGGTTGGTAGTGGAAAGGTAGATTACTTGGTCATAACAATAATGGTTAAAAAATATTAATTTTTTAAAAACTATTTTTTAGAGTTCATTTCTAATGTCACTATTAAATGAGATTCAAGTAACCAGTGGTCGGGTATCCGTAAAGGGATCGGTAGCCTATGCTTCACAGGATAGTTGGTCTTTTAATTCGACAATTTTGCAAAACATAACGTTTGGAAAGCCGTATGAAATAAAGCGATTCAAAGAAGTCATATCAGTCTGTGCTATGAATCGCGACTTAAAGATGTTTCCGTTCGGCGAGCGATCTCTGGTCGGCGAAAGAGGTGTTACACTCAGTGGCGGACAAAAAGCTCGGATAACATTAGCCCGGTTTGCAGTTTAATAATAATAATAATTATTATTATTATATTTATATATAAAATTATTATAATATTAAAATAATCCATACTTACTGTACATACCAGTGCTCTGTATAATAACGCCGATATCTATCTATTGGACGATCCGTTAAGTGCTGTCGACACTGAAGTTGCAAATCATATCTTTGAAAAGTATATTACTATTAATAAATTATAAACATTTATTAAATTATATAATTTTTATTAATTAGATGTATTACTGAATATTTGAAATCAAAATCAGTGATTCTCGTCACACATCAGATACAGTTCATCAAAAAGGCTACAAAAATACTGGTCCTACGCGAGGGTCGGCCACTGGCCGTTGGTTCGTACGATGAGCTCATGAAGTCCGGCATTGACTTTATGTCGCTAATCAAAGAGGACAACAAACACGAAAACACTAGCAGTGGTGACAATATTAGTAAAGATCAAAATCAGTTGACAGACGAACAGCAGAAGAGTGTCATCGCTGATCCGTTCAGAAATCGGTCCATAAGTGTGTTGTCGTCACAATCGACTCAGGAGGTTAGCCACACGTGATAATCATCAAAATTATCTGAAAAAATAATTAATAATTTGCTTTTATTAGACTGATTTGTGCGAAACTGATGAAAAGATTGCAGAAGAAAACAAAGCTCAGGGAACTATCAAAGCCGGCGTCTACTGGGAGTACATCCGATCGGGTGCCGGACCCGTACTACTGACTGTTGGCCTTTTATCGACTATAGTGTCTCAAGTGTTGCAACACTACAGCGACTATTGGCTGTCCGAGTGGTCAAACAAAGAGGACGCCAGTATTGCGTCAAACAGTGACGACAATAAAGTGGATGAAAAAGAAAACATTAAGATCTATACAATACTTTTGGTAACAATTTTTGTATCATTAATACTACGGTCGACCACTTGGTTTGTAATGTGTATCAAAGCGTCAATCAATTTACACAACAGAATATTCTATCGACTAATGAGAACCAGAATCTCGTTTTTCGACAACAATCCCGTCGGTAATTGAATTGAATTTTTGTTTTATTAAATATATTTGTTAACGAATATATATACTATTATATATAATATAATATATATTTAATATATTTAATTAATACTAAAAGTAAAAATAATAATTAATTAATTATTTGTAATTAAAGGCCGAATTCTGAATCGTTTTACCAAAGATGTCGGAACAGTTGATGAACAGTTGCCTAACGTTTCATACGATCTAAATATTGTATTTTAAATTTAATTTTTTTTACATAAATCCTTAAATTAATTAATAATACTAATATTTAATTTTTATTTGTTTGTTTGTTTGTATACCAGATATTTATGCAAATTATTGGTTCAATAGTTACGACAATCATTGCAATTGTAAACTATTATCTAATTATTCCGGCAATTGGTTTATTGGTTATTACATTTACCATACGTTGGATTTATTTGAAAATCGGTCGCGATTTTAAACGTTTTGAAGGAATCGGTATTTAAATTATTTTATTTGTTATATATATATTATTATAATACTATATATGTTTTCACAGCCCGGAGCCCATTGTACAATCATATGACTACAACACTGAGCGGACTGACAACTATTCGTGCCTTTCGTGCTGAGCAAATGTTTCGGGAACAGTACTATCGATACCAGAATGACCACACGTCAGCTTATTTTATGTGTATATCCGCGTCCCGATGTTTAGGTAGGGTTACCATTAGTATTGGTTGTAGTATTATATGTATTGTCATGAATTTATAATCATTTTGCTGTCGTTGTTGTCGGTGAACAGGTGTAACAATGGATTGGTTTTGTGCCGCTTATCTGGCGTGTGTTGAACTATTTTTGATGGCATTTTACAAGGGTATGTCTATTACATTGAGAGTAATCTATCATAAAATATTTATATATATATTGTTTATATTATTTCTTAGATCTTCCCAGTGGTAGTGCAGGTCTGGCCATATCAATGTCATTGGGTTTAATGGGAATGACTCAGTGGGGTGTCAGACAATCGGCCGAAATGGAGAATCAGATGACATCAGTCGAGAGAATTGTTGAATACTCTAAACTAGAATCCGAAGGACAGATCGAGAGTGAGATACCACCGCCTGATGAGTGGCCAGAAAATGGATCCATTGAACTCAGACACGTATACTTGTCTTATGATAATTCACCGAAACCTACACTACATGATCTCAATTGTGTGATCAATGGTGCCGAAAAAGTCGGTATAGTTGGCAGAACCGGTGCCGGCAAGTCATCTATATTATCGGCACTGTTCCGTATGCAAGAAATTGAAGGCAATATTATTATTGATGGCATCGATCACAAGACTATAGGTCTACACGATTTGCGTAGACATATGTCAATCATACCTCAGGATCCCATTGCTTTCATCGGCAGTTTGCGAAAGAATTTGGATCCATTTGATGAACATTCTGAAGATAGACTGTGGGAAGTACTCGAAGAAGTTCAGCTCAAGGAGGCTGTTATGGAAATGTCTGGTCAGTTGGAGTATCAACTGTCCGAAGGCGGCGGTAATCTGAGTGTAGGTCAGCGCCAACTCATATGTCTGGCCAGAGCTATACTTCGCCGAAATCGGATTCTTGTGTTAGACGAGGCAACAGCTAATGTCGACCACAAAACTGATGCATTGATTCAGCGGACAATTCGTGAAAACTTTGCCGACTGTACTGTACTAACAATTGCTCACCGATTGAATACAATCATAGACTCGGATCGGGTACTGGTTCTCGATTCCGGACGTATTATGGAGTTTGGCGTTCCCTACGAATTATTACAGAATAATTCGGGAATGCTTTACAAACTCGTTAARCAAACCGGTGTCCAAATGTCCGATCAATTGATACGATTGGCTAAACAATCGTACGATCGTACGAAACATATAATTGATTTACAATAATAAGATAATCAGTATTTTTAATCAATCAATATRTATGATAATAATTTTATATATATATATCAATTTWTCAKTATTAGTATTATTGTTATAATATATTTTTAAAAAATTGTACTGTACCTGTGCCATATCATTTTGTAACCCTATTTTTGTGTAACATTAGAGATATTTATTAATATATTGATATATATTTTTTAACTATACATTATCTAATTTATTATTAAATTTCAACTATTATTTAATTATTAACATTGCAGTATTTAATTATATATATATATATTTTTAAATATATCTATAATATAATAAATTYAACAACAAAAAAATTTACTAAAAAAATAAAAAGATTATTATTATTATTAAAAAATTAATTAGTTATTTAATATTATTAATTTSTATCCAAATTGTGTTATKTTATTGGTTTGTATGCAAACTATTTGTATTAAATAAAATATATTTAGATGTTTGAATAACAAAAMTTTGAATATTTATATTATAAAGTAATTATTAGCATTTAGTTTATAGACATTACACATAAATACATTCAATAACAGTAGTACTGTATAAATACAGTATTATATATGTATAATGTATATAATTTATATAATATAAATAAATAAAATAACATATTTTAATTATAAAGCAAACAAATAGCAATTATTATTAGTATTATTATTAATACTGTATTTATTTTAATAGATAATATCATAGAGTACATAGCAATAGTACAGTAGATATCAGTACGATACAATCATAWATAACTTAATAATTAATTATAAAAACTTTTTTTGTTTGTTGGCATATGTTTGTTATCAGCAGTTTTACTGATAAAATGAAATAAAACGAAAAAATTGTGAGAAAATATTTTTTTTTGTATTAAAATGAAAACAAATAAATTGAATAAAATACAGACAAATAAAAATAATTGACTTTTTTGATGGTCAGCACAACATGTCGACGATATGACCACAACAACGACAATAGTTGAAGTACAAGACCTGTTGGACGAGCTGTGCGCTGAAAATCGACGACTAGTYGATCAGCTAGAGTTTGGCAAYAAATGTTGGCAACTGTTGGCCAGATTTCGGCAAACATTGAGCCAAATGTGCGACAAATGTCAGTGCGGTGGCGGTGGCGATACCGGCGTCGATGCGGAAAAGTTGGCATTCARTMGACTGGACAATCAATTTGTTKGTCTCAGTCAAGAGTTTGATGACGAAAAACATTATCGATTCGAGACATCGATGGCTACAATGAAGAATCAGAAGACAAAGAAGACATCGTCAAAATTGACGGTAAAATTTGTAGATAAAACTAACGAAAAGTTTACAACAGGTCGTCGTCGTAGTCGTCAAGTGAATAGGTTTTCATTTGATAGTCAATTAGTAAGAAATTGGACGAAAAAAAGTAGTGATAATAATAATTGTGACATAAATGAAGATAATATCACCACTTCTATGGACATCAACAACAATAATAACCACAATGTTATCATCAATGATAGTATCAATGAAAGTGATTTACAAATAAGTAATTAATTTGATTGTAATATAAAAATAATTGATAACATTGTTTGATATCTCATTTTTTTGACCATATGGTTACCGTAGGTATTAATGGCACCGTTAGATCATCGGACACGGCTACTGYTCAGACGACAATGGATGCTATGCTCGACAAACTGATCGACTGTATTGGATGTGATCTGAAATTTCCGCTAAAGAAGCGTCTGATGCAACACATTCGCAAYTCGCACCACGATATCTACGATACCCGACGATCGGTATTCAARTGTACTGTCCAGGACTGTCTGTACGAAAGTGACCGCTATCGGGGACTGGCCGAACATAATATGAAACACCGGGGATGCAAACCGTTCAAGTGATTTGATATTTAATAAAACAACTGTTTTTAAGTTATTAAACAATCTTTAAATGTGATGTCTATTTGGCAGATGTGTTTGGCCGGGATGTGAGTCCAGTTTCTACCGGTGCGTAACAATTCAAGTGATAATTCATTGATTAGTGTATTCAATCATTTTTGTTTTGTTATTATTATCAGAAACACTCATCTGATTGTCCATAAGGCCAGTCACGAAGGTCTCAAGCCGTACGYCTGCGACTGGCCGTCGTGTGGACAGACATTTCGTTCGAATTCCAATCTGAAACACCATCACCTGATCCATACCAATGAACGGCCGTATAAGTGCGAGTGGTAGGTGTCCTCCTCTACTGTCATTAATACAATGATAAGAACCGGGRGGTGGGGTTCACACGTTGKTTTGACTCCCGGTTCTCATTGATTCAAATAATTAATATTATTATTCTTATTATTTTCAATCAATCCAGGCCTGGATGTGAAGCTCAGTAAGTTTTTATTTTATTTTTATTAATGAGTGGGCACATAAAACCCCCTACCCCACCCTTTTAACTACTACTGTGTTCAGACTCTCTGACCATTTAAACCCAATTTTTTTTTGCTTCGGAGGTTTCGGTCGGCGTCGTCGCGTATCCGACACAAAGTGGTTCACCGATCGACGGCCGACTACCGGTGCCAGTGGTCCGGCTGTGGCAAGAGTTTCAAGTTTAAAGGTTCGCTGAAACGRCACACCTATTTGCATGAGATGGACGACAGTGGCGGTTATCCACTACCGCTACGGTCGTCACTTAGCTGTAAATCCATGGGCTGTCCGATAACTTTTCTAACTAAGCGGCAAATGTCTGATCATATCCGACAAAATCACACCAATAATAATAATAATATAAACTAATAAATATTTGTTAATTAATTAATATAATGATGATATTTATTAATAATAATCTGGATACTTTTTTGTTTGAAAAATTTATTAAAAATTTTAAATTATAAAGTTTATACATATTTTCAGTATATATGAAATCGGTATTATTTTTAAATACAGTATATTATATGATMATAAAAAATATTATCAATTTGGAGACAAAATAAAACCTAGAATTTAATTTTCTGTTTGCATTGAAAACATTGAAAGTTTAATCTAAACTTTAGAGAGAGAGAGAGAGAGAGAGAGAGAGAGAGAGAGAGAGAGAGAGAGAGAGAGAGAGAGAGAGAGAGAGAGAGAGAGAGAGAGAGAGAGAGAGAGAGAGAGAGAGAGAGAGAGAGAGAGAGAGAGAGAGAGAGAGAGAGAGAGAGAGAGAGAGAGAGAGAGAGAGAGAGAGAGAGAGAGAGAGAGAGAGAGAGAGAGAGAGAGAGAGAGAGAGAGAGAGAGAGAGAGAGAGAGAGAGAGAGAGAGAGAGAGAGAGAGGAAGAGAGAGAGAGAGAGAGAGAGAAAAAGGAAGAGAGAGAGAGAGAAAGAGAGAGAGAGAGAAAGTAAGAGAGAGAGAGAGAGAGAGAGAGAGAAGAGAGAAAGTAAGAGAGAGAGAGAGAGAGAGAACGAGAGAGAACGAGAGAGAGAGAGAAGTAAGAGAGAGAGAGAGAGAGAGAGAGAGAGAGAGAGAGAGAGAGARAGGAAGAGAGAGTCAGTCTAGACTAAACTATTTTTAATTGGGGACACATATACAGTAGTAGTAGTAGTAGTTAGTGGCTTATGTATTATCACATTATACCATCAACAGTATTGTATAGATTTTAATTTTTTTTCTCTATTAAATTTGACACAAATTTTTATGATGAATAGTAATTTGATATTATATAACTTGATTTTTAAGCAAAACATTATAATAATAATAATAATAATTCAATGGTCTGTTACCTCTAAAGTTTTTTTTAAAGTTAGATATCTATAATAATTTAACAAATTTAACATTAGTTTTGTGTTTATTTAATTTATTTTTTATTTAATAAATCATTTTTAATGTATTTTGTTATAAAACTACTATTACTACTATTGTTAAACAACAGTAAAAAAACAGTTAGCATTGAATTACTAKTAMTTATACTAATTAATACTTGTATAGCTTAGGTATGTGTTATCAAATGTTAGCCATCGGGTGATGACTAAAAAAAAGTTAGTTTAGTTTTTAWRTTATAACTGTATCTAATGGTCTTTTAGTAAAAAAAATATTTAAAAAAATAATTTACTGTATATTTTGCTATATAAATATATTTATTGCTTATTTTATAAATGTATAAAAAATAATAATAATACCTATAATACTGTATATAAATTTATTTGTTTGAWAAACAAAAATATTTCAAATAAAATGTAATATTTATGAACACAATAAAAAATATTGCAAAATATTTTTAATTAATTAATTAATTAAAAATATTTTAACATGTATTTAAAAATAATTTATTTAGTGAAAAAAATAATATGTATTTTATTTAATTAAATATATACTGTATTTATTAATTGACTATTAGCTCAATAAAAGCTCAGTTATCCTATCATCATATTATCGTATGGCCTGCCTGTCCAACACATCCAATATACACAATATCGGGCCTCAAATACCTGACTGTATATGACATACCAGTGCGCGGGTCTCTCTCTCTCTCTCTCTCTCTCGAAGGTCAGGCATTTAAAAACAACATAACTATACATAAATTATTGTTGGCATATATCCATAGGCCCTGAGCACTGGTATGTTGGTGTGTATGTGTTTGTTGTACTGTTAGGTCAAATATACTGTACTATAGCTATACATTTGAATGTTTTTTTTTGTTGAAAAAACTTCAATCAATCAATCAAAACATTAAAAAGTTTTTATTTACTAAATAATAATTAAAAATTGTTGTCATTTTTTTTAGTAACTAATAGTAACCATCAATAGATAGTAACAAATATGGAGTGAAATATAAATACATATAAATATATTGAAAATTATTTCTAATACTAATTATAATAATAAACTTTTTTTTTAATTACTACTAATGAYAACAACAAAAAWGTTTTTCAAAAATGTATTTCAAATAACACTTAAATAATATTTAAAAACATTAAACACATTGTTATTAATTAATTAGATATGACTAATGAGTTGAAACCAAACATACAGTCATAGTTTGAAATGTTTGAATTGATAAATATATTAAATAAAAACAAAACGATAGTTACTATAGATATTAATGTTTTGTTTTTTTGTTGTTTGTTTGGAATTAAATGTCTAATTGAGTTGAAAAACACTTAACAGTTATTAAAGTACTGTACAATATATTGAACTTTATATTATTATTATTATTATTATTATTATTACAGTATTAATACATATACTGTATTTGGAATTACAAATAATGTCTAATAAGTTGAATCGATTAGAATTGTGTTTTTTTGTTGTTGTTYTGACTCATCAACAGTTGAATCGCTGAGTAATTGCTGAGTGTTATACATACATATCATAGATATATATATATACAGTATATATATCAATGAACACTATTTTTATATATSTTGAGAGACACATTGACTCACAACAGATAAAAACAATACACAGTTTATAGACATAGCAATAGCACTAAACCTGAGTAATAGTTTGTAGTAGTCATGAGGTTAAAGGTTTCTTTCAAWTCGAATGTTTTATTCTAATTGATTGATTGATTTGAGTCAACAAACAAACAAAGAGACAAATATGGCGGACATTAGTAGTARTAGTAATAGTAATACAACGCACGCTATAACAGGCTATACATACATATAAACTCTAAATTTTTATATCATTTTTTTGTAAATTTTTTTTTWAAAAATTAATAATTCATTGTTTATGCTATTAATTTGTCCTTTAATTTGTTTCATTTAAAATTGRTTTTCAYATATCGGGGACTTTTTAGTCCCCGATATTTATTACAAGAACATCAAACGTTAGCAAATTTTTTTCAACATTGAGAGAGCTATGTATGTGTACTCTCTSATCGAGTGTTGAAACAACACTAAAGCGTATTAAATGTTGACTCAATATTATAGRGAGTTGACTCTCTCTCTCTCTCAAGTCCTACTTTCCTATTGGCTAAAATTTTTTATCATACCATATATGGTCATAGAATGGACAAAGCAATTATGATATTGAGTCAACATTTAATGTAATATTTGTAATTGTATTGCGATTTCGTTGTGCAACTCATTCGAGTTTTATTATTCAWTGAGTGCACAWCGTCTCCAGTGTTTTCGTTTTATTAAAAAATAAATTGATTTTTTTTTAAAAAAAGGTAAGCTCTATTTTTTTAAAAAATTAATTTTTTTTAKGCAAAATGGTTCTAAAAAACAATAGGTTAATCTTAGTTCATGCTAGGTTAACTTTTTTTAGAACCATAATTTTTTCAAATATAATTTATTTTTATTACAAGAACATCAAACGCTAGCAGATTTTTAATGATAATTTGCAATAATTTTTAAAATTTTGTTTTAAAAAWATATATATATATATATAWAACTTATACAAGTTATATGAATCTATGTATATCTTATATACGTTTTTTTAAAAGAAAATATCGGTATTAAAAYTGTACACTCATTTAATCCYAACAACAAATAACGCTTTAGATATATATATATAAATACAACAATAGATACTTAAATCTATTGAAAATTTAAATAATGTATTAATAATACAATACTTTAATAAATATTCTTTAAATATCTGAATTGGATTGTAACTATTAAGTGAAAAAAATACGTGAAATCCGTTTCGATGTACTCGTGATTATTCTTATAAGACGTAAATTTTTCGCCAATCTATTGATTGATTCAATCGATTGGTCAGCCGTACTGTCCGACCGAAATGGTCACTAACTCCTAACCCCGTTATAAGTGTCCGATCGGMCGGAAAAGCGAGGTTCGACTGTACCATTCAATTAACATTACTATTGAGTACTGTTTTGCGGTTATAAACTCTCTATRCTTKACTATAGAGTGTTGTTTTTTGTATTGTTTTATACTMTAKTATTGAATACCCGTCTGTATGTATGTATGTGTGTAAATACCTGTATATATGTATTGAATACCTGTATATATGTATTGAATACCTG